ACATGGACAAATAGACCAATGGAATACAACAGCTCAGAAACAGACCAACACAGATATGATCAAGATTAGAGAAAAGAGGTTTTTCATGAAATAATGATAGAGCAATTGGATCATATACCTAAATGTGTGCAACAAAGCAATCTCAAAAAAAAAAAATTCTTGATCATGAGGTAGTAGCAGATTTCTTAAAGTGGCCCATAAAACTGCTAATCATTTAAAAAGTGATAAACTAGACCTTATCAAAATAACATACTTCTGTTCATCAAATACATCACTCAGAAAGTATTCAGATAAACTGCAGAATGAAAGAATATAATTGGTATATTCGAGAAGGGACTTGTGCCTGGAATACATATCTAGATGTACATATACATCCATATCTATTCCTAAAAAGACAACTTAAAATATATAAAGATTTGAAAAAGCATTTCTCAAAAGGGTTATCCAGTTAGCCAAGAAGCGTATGAAAGAGTAAACACCATTGTTTACTGAGAAAAATACAGATCAGAATCTAAACTGAGATATACACACCCGCCTTAAGGACTGAAATGAACTGCGAAATGGTTCAGACTCTTAGGAGTTGTTGGCAGGAGTGTGAATTGCCTTAGCCACTTTGGAAAACTTTGTTCTTGTTTATGAAAAAATAAAAATTTCATAAAATAAGAATAACAATAGTTAATACACCACATATCATTATCTTTAGGTACTCAGAGTACAAGACATAGACCAAAAAGATTCTTACAAAGAAACAATAACACAAAACTTTTCAACAAACTAAGATAAATTACTAATATAAAGGAAACAAACTAGCATATATATTAAAATATTTTGAAGCAATGGAATATATAATTTGGGAAGTATTTGAACTTCTCCCTACTTCCTATTTATCTGTCTTCTATTTTGCTCTTTGTGTGGGCTGTATGTGTGTGTGTGTGTGTGTGTGTGTGTCTTTTTATGTGTGGTTTTTCATATAAGAGTAACTATACCATATTTAAACTTTTTTTGTGTCCAGTAAGGCATTCAGGACCCAGCAATTCATATGCTACATCTGTACTAAGGGAATTAAGTTCTCACAGCCATCAAAAGACATGAACAAGAATGTTCATAATTGTACTCATAATATACAAAACCTGAGAACTCAGTTGAGTTTTCAGTCCACTAACAGAATAGCTTAATAAATTGGTATATTATTTATATACTGTATGTTCATACAAAGGATAATACTTAGAAACAAAACTAATCTAACCTCTAATATATGCAATAAGGTAGATGACTTTCAAAGGCATATGTTGAACAAAAGAAGCCACATAATAGTATATACTGCCTAAAACTATTTACATGAAATTGAGGGATAGGCAAACCTAAACTATCCTGGTATCTTTTGGCAATATCTACTGAAGGTAAATATTTTCCTATTCCATGACCAAGAAATTCCAACCCCATGTATATGCTCAAAAGAAATGTGGGCTAAAAAGACATTAACAAAGATAATAGAATGGCATTTTTTTGCAAGAGCCCCAGACTGAGATCATCATTCTCCATTAGTAGAAAAACAATACATTTGGCACAGTTGCACAACCCACTTGTCTGCATAACAGGGCAACAAAAGTAAATGGTAGCTATGAACAACAAAATGAATCTCACACATATGACACTGACAAAAATGATGACTGTGATTCCATTATATCTGTACGTTAAAGATAAAAGTAAACTATGGTGTTTAGGAACGAGTGCTTTGGTAACACAACTTTAAAAAAAAAAAGAAAGAGGAAATGATTACTGTTAAAGGAGGAAAATCAGTCCTGAGAGGGATGGTAACGCTTATAAGGGGGCATAAGGTAGGGTTAGCAGTGTGAGCAGAATTCTACATCTTCATCTGGGTGGTGGTCACATGGGCATATGCTTTGTAATCAATGAGCTGTGTAATTTTATGTGTGTAAAATATTGTAACAAAAACTTTTCAAGATAACTATTCTATAGACACCTTTGCATGGCAAAAAATAGAAAGCTTTACAAAGATAAACAACTAAATAGCTGCCAATTATGAAGTCTGTGAAATCTGCAACACAAAATGTACTTTGAAAACTTAGCACTGGTTGGTTTGGTCCCCATTGAAATGTAAGGCTCTCACATTTTGAGAAAATTCCCAGTGCATCTAGCTTTGCAAAAAATGAATATCCACTTTAGAGTTAAACTCTAGTAGTCAGGGAGCAGGCCCAGTTTTGTCTCTCACTGTTTCTCTGTTGCCAAGGCACTGAGTCTGGGACACAGCTGGGGCTCAATAATAAGGGTTGTAAGAATGAACACAATGGATGCAAAAGAGCTAATTTGCTATGATAATGATAAAAAAGGCACCTTCACCATCATCATGGCTGCATGTTCTGAGTGTGGGTGCCCACAGTCAGGACACTTGGGCTCTGAGTAGGAAGAGTACCAGTGAGGGCAATCTCCTTTGGGGGTGAAGTGGGCTCTGTAACCTGGGGAACCTGGGGTTGATGTGCAGTACTATGGAGAAGGTAACCACTGAGGTGCTGTCTGTGCCTGGACAAGGGCTCTTAGGAGCTTTCAGTCTCCTTATTTGGAGCCCCGCTAACTAGCTCCAAGCCTTGTGTAGAATTTTCTTAGAAGGTAGAGCTTAGTACCGGCTGTGGTATAAGATGCACTATCATTTGGGTGCAGTAATGGCAGCAAGTAGAGGTGGTAACAGATGAGAAGTGGGACCCCATGGAAAGGTTCCGGCAGTCTTTCGATTGACAAGAGACACCCAACCATGAAGCCAACTCGTGTGACTCCTCAGCCTTCCCCAGAAGGCCCCAGAAATATCTGGAAGAAGAGAACCACTTACCTCCGGGCCTTCCAGTTTTCTAAGTTGGGAGTAGGGAGGAACAATATCATTATTCGATATCAAAGGACATAATGACCCCAAGAAGGATGGAGAGACCTCAAGAATATTTGGTTTCACAGGTGGCACAAAGTAAAAAAGAAACAATATTCCAGACACAAAAAATGCATTCAGAAGTGCTTCTTTGCAGTGCTCAGTGGTTCATTTTTAAAGCCCCACTTTGCATAAATTGGCAGAGGCAGAGAAGGACCTGAATTAGGAATTCTTATTTTAAGAAAAAAGGCTGCACCCAATGCTTCTCATTCCCTGATTTCCCCAGAGTAACAAAAACTCCCTACCACGAAAGCTTGCTTTTCTCTGCACAGTGACTGGCAAGGAGGGAGGGCAGGAGGGAGAGGAGGAGGACAGGCAGCTGCAAACTGCTGCTTTCTGCCCTTGGGCTAGCTGCTGTCTCTTTTCTGCCAAGCTCACCCTGCCAAGTCCCCCTTTAGAGTGTGCAGCATGGTCCGCAAAGAGCCCTGATCCTGCAGATATCTCAGGAGGTGGCTGCCCTAGGACGGGGAGCCTGGTCCTTTGAAAGCCCCTATGGGAAAGATTTGGCATATTGCTTCTTAGGCAGAGAGAAGGAGAAAGACAAAAGGGAGAGGGAGAGAAGAGTAAAATGTTAAGGGAGTGGTGGCAGGGTAAGGCAACAGACAGGGAAGGGATAGAAGCAAAGAGCTTCTAAGAGAGAAGGAAAGACAGATACACAGAAAGAGAGAAAAATGAGAGAAGGAAGGGTCCGAAGGGAGAGGGATGTAAGGAGAGAAGGAGCAAAGCTGCAGGCAAGAGGGAAATCTTCAGTCTGGACCCAGAGAGCTGAGCAGCAGCTTGTACAGATGTAGGCCCTATGACCGAAGAACCAGACAAACAAAGCCCTCAATTACTTACAAAACCTGATATCCATCACAGCCTCATCTGCAAAAAACTGGGTCAGCCTTAGTAGGGGGAGCGGGGTGTGTGTGCAAGTCTTCTATTATCTGATTGGAGCATGCTGGGTGCAAGTGTAGTGGGGAAGGTGGTAGTGGATATGCAGCCTCCCCCCTGCCCCTTTCATTTGAGTCCCACTGTGAAAAGCTACTGTTTGAATTCAACATCAAAGAAAGCAATCTTAGCAACCTCTGGCACAGCACTGCTGCCAGGCACCTGTACAACACCCAAGGGTGAGGGGCCCCAAATCTCTGCTCTGGATGAGGCTGCGCAGATGTTATACAGAGTGAGACGAGGGCCAACGGGCCTGGGGCAGGAGGTGATCAGGCCAGCCAGAGGCTGGCTCAGGGGCAAGTGAACTAGAGGAAAGGAGAAAAGGCAGGGTGTTTCCCAGGCCAGCTCTGCTTTACCTGCCATGCAATCAGGTCCTTGAGATGGCTCAGCTTGTCCTGGTCCTCAGGGTGTTCCCTGGTGTAGTCTTCAGTGAAGAAAGCCTGTGGGGGTGGGAGGTGGGCAGTCAGAGGTGTTCATTCAGTGTGGGCCCCAGTGTCTCAGGCACTGAGAAAAGATTCCATGTGAGAGGGGCGGGAATGAGGTTACAGGTATTTGGAAGGCTGGATGGTCAGGGACCTGTAGGGCCTGCCACTGTTTCCCTTCCCTGGGGGATCCCAGCAGCACTCACAGGGAATGGACTGCAAACTCCAGGGAAGTCATTCTTAAAATGTGATGCTTGGCCCCACAGCATCCCTAGGAAACTTAAAAGAAATGCAAGTTCTCTGGAGCTAACCCACAGCAATAAAATCAGACTCTGGGAACAGGCACAGGGGCTCCTGTTAAGAGGCTGCAGGAGTCTCTAATACATCTCAAATTAGAGAGCATTGCTCTGAGGAAAAGAACTCAGTAAAGAAATTTCACCCGGTGCACGGTCAAGCTCACCTCAGTGCCTCTCTCGCTGTGAGTGACCCTGCCTGCCAGCTCCCTGGCTCTTCCGGGGGCGTCCTTATTGTATGCATGCCTACATACAGACATATCACAGCAATCCTCCAGGCTGAGCCAATGGTGACTATGCCTGACGGTAGCCAGAAGTACTGGTTGGCTGACAGGAATTACTGTCTGAGTTACACTACTGTAGGTATTCTGAATTTTCTATCATTGGATGACAGAGGAAAGGCAGTAGAGAATGAGCAATCTGTTTTTCAGGGTCGGCTAGGTGAGAGCCATGTAAGGACTTTCTATTCTACTTCAGTGCCAGGAAAAGCTGTGTTTTCCTATTGAACAATTGGTATTTTCCTCCAGGGCACAATATGACTCATATAACCTATGGGATTTCCCTTTTTGCCATTGGCACCAAGAGGGTCAAAAATGAAATCAGTGTCTTAAATGTGTGAGGGTTTCTGCGCAGATCTTATAACCTAGAGATCTAGATTATACTTCTCATCTCAGAGTTGATCCCTGAGGACTTCTATACTTGGACAGATTCTGGGATTAATTTCTTTGCATTTCTGTATGTTACTTCAAACCCTCTGTGGAAAAGATTGATTTACACGTGTCAAGTACTTCGATTTGTGATTCCTGTATTTTTATGGTCCAGGCTACAGCTACCAGAGAACCCTTCCTTAACAGAGCACCCACATCTTCCCAGGGGATATGCGGCCTTTAGGAGCTCTGCTTCTCCCTGCTCCTGCATGGTTGAAAATGTGGGTGGGAAGCAGTAGGGAGCTCGGCTAAGATATGAGGCTATAAAAAGTCTGGGAACTACCTGAAGTCCAACTGAGCTGATGTCCCTTCAGGAAGCAAGGATAGCCACAGTAGGACAAGGAGCTCACAGCTGCAGCTGTTTCCCAGGCGTCCCTCCCTAGGCCTGGAGAGTGGAGGTCCTTACCTTTTCATACTTGGCGAAACCGCCCATGACAGCAGGGTCTACAATTCCATTCAGGAGCATGGACAGCGGGTTGATGGGGAGGCTCTCATCATTCTGGTACTGGTTTATCATCATCAATATCTTCTCATTGGCTGTGGACATGGTTTCAATGGCATTTTCCAGGGGGCTAATTGTGGTCTGTTGAAAACAAGATCAGGACCAGGGATTTAGCTCAGTGGTTCCACCGCCTGCCTTGCAAGCACAAGGTCCCGAGTTCAACCCCCGGTACCAAAGAAAACAAGATCAGCAGGAAGAAAGGGCTTTAGCAGGTCCCTTTAAATGCAGATATAATTATTGGTATCACTTTCATTTGGGGTGGGAATCAAATGAGGACACACTCCCCAAGGAGCTGCAGCAGGCTGTGGGTGGAATAAGGAATTTGGGGGTAAGGGGGTTGTCTGCTGTGTGGGACAGCTGACTCTGGCTTATTGAGAAGAATCTCCCTGGGGAGGTGGAGGTGGGATGTGCCAGGCATTTTCTGGGGTCTCAGAGGCTGCCTGTCCTAGAGCGGCTTCCCTCTTCTGATAGCCTGGGTCCAACGCACTCCAACTCAAGCCATCACATACTGGTTGTGTTGCTAACATGTGGGGGCTTTCAGCCAGAGGCCAGATTGCAATGTGAGCATCAGCCTGGCATGAGGAGCCCCAAGACTGGACTATAGGTAGAGTTGCTATTTCAGGTAGATCCACTTTAACTGAGAAAATAAAGCAGAATTCTTCTTCCACACTTCTCAGAAAGCAGTGTAAACAAAGGGCCATCAAATGACAACTGGCAAATAGTGTGATTCCCAAGAGCTTAGGACCTAGACTAAAACACCAAACTACAGGTCGGCAAACATTTTCTGTAGAAGAGCCAGATAGTAAATATTTCAGAATTCACAGGCCAGATGGTCTCCGTTACAACTACTCAACTCTGTTTCTGTGGAGGGAAAAGCAGCCATGGGAATATGTAAATAAACAAGCATGGTGTCCCAATAAAACTATACAAATAGGTGGCAGGTGGAATTTGGCCACAAGCCATAGTTTGCTGACCACTGAACTGATTAAATGAAAACACTGCAAAACTCAGCTTTGGGTTTCTTTTTTTTAACCTGTGTGACCTTGGACAAGTTTCCTAACCTATCTAAGCATCAGTTGATTCATGGTAAAAGAAATAAGAAAAACTTACTTCAAGAAGTTATTGGTAGCTAGCTATAAATGCTTGTTAAGATAAAATGGCAATTGTCTTAAGAGTGGGAGACTCACTGGCAGAAAGTGGAGTTGGAAGGATAAGGAATCTGAGAAAATGTCATAGAAGGAGGTACCCTAAATTTTACCATGTCTACACTGATTGTAATGCTTACCTCACTAGCAGTGTAGTAAAGATTGAGACAATACAATACTTGATACAGAATTCTTCAAAAATATCACCTGTAAGTGCTTGTACTTGCTACATACATGGGTGGGATAGTTGGGCCTTCATGGCCACGTTCTTAGTCTTTTTAAATAAGTCATTTCCTTAAATTCCTGTGAAACTTAAATTTCTCACACCCTTTCCTGAGTCTGTACACTTCCATCTGGCCCTTTTTATAGAAAATGTTCCAACCTCTAGATTTTGGAGATGTCAGCTCCTCTGGGGAGAAGTCCTTGGGAGTAGATTCACCCTCTCTGTCACTGTCACTCCCTGACACAAATGCATGCATCCACCTACTGAATCAGTAAGCTAATGTTACCACAACAAAATACCTGTGGCAATTAACTTACAAGAGGAGTGGTTCAGGTAGCTCATGTTCTGCAGGGTCAAGCCCAAGACTGGGCAGTCTCACCGGTTTGGGCCTCTGGTGGGATTGCCATATAGCAAGGGTAGGGAGTGTGTGTCAAAGCAGATGACTCAATCACAAGCCAGGAAGCAGAGAGTGACTGAGAGACCAGGGTCCTACATCCCTTTTGAAGGGATACCCCCCCTAGTGAACTTAGAACCTCCCAAACCACTACCTTGGGGATCAAGCTTTTATGTATGAATCGTTAAGGAATACTACATTCAAATTTAGCACCCACCCATGAACACACATGTGCACACACAACCTGCACACCGGCACACATAAGCACAGTACTAAATGGAGGGGAAGGCCATACACCAGTCGATGGCTGAAACCCATGGTCTGGTTCTAGTCAAGTGTGCAGACCTCTGCAGGGTTTTACAAGGCCAAGGTCTAGGTGGGGGTCTAAGGAAAACCAACCAGCACGCTTGCATTGAGCCCAGCACCACACCTGGATCCAACAGTAGCCTGGCATGTCTGAGGGATGCAGGCTTTAAGACAAGTCATTATCAAGGGAAAGATCCATCGATTGGCTTTTCTCTTCTTTCTGAAAACCATTTTGAGGTTCCCAAATCTGTATTCTCATTAGAGCCATTGGGAACAGAGAATGAGAGAGAAAATAATGTTGGCTTCCTACCTAAGGGCATCTGTGTTGACCAAAGATACATCTCTTTGAGCAGAGTTTTGGGGATCATGTATTTGGTAAAAGGCCCCACCGGTGACAAGGCTCAGCCAGGGCTAATGGGCAGCAGCTACTGAAATTTCACATTCTTCATCCTTACACTAGAACTACAGTTGTCCCTCAGAATCCATGGGGACTTGTTCGAGGACCCTCTGAGTACACCACAGATCCAAAATTGTTCAAGTCTTTTATATAATATGGCACTGTATTTGTATATACCCTGCCATATACTTTAAATCATTTTAGATGACTTGCAATATCTTATATAATGTAAATGATATGTAAATAGTTACTGTATCATATTATTTAGGGAATAATGACAAGAAAAATGTCTGTGCATTTTCAGTACAGATACAATTTTTTCCTCAAATAGCTTCAATCTGTACTTGGTTGAAGCTGTGTGTGTGTAATCTGTAACAAGCAGAGGGCTGACTGTAGGTACCTCAGAGGGTTTTGTGAAAATGAAATGGAGTAAGGCTATAAGGCCTTTGACACAGTGCCTAAGACACTTGTTGATTTATCATGTGTCAGTATGTCCCGGGAACCAAGGGTAAGTACACTTTCTTCCTTTCCAGGAAGGAAAGCTCCCCTTGCTGGGGGACTGAAGGCACCCTGAAGAAGGAAAGAATGAGTCCATTCCGATTGGCTGATAAGGGAGGTTTAAGTCCAGCTCTACCTCTTTTACTAACCTTGAACAACCCATGAACTCATTCGGTTCCCCATCTGTAAAATACAGAGGATAATATCTGCCTTATAAGGTTACAGAGCGGTAAGGGGGATTTACATGCAATCACGCAAGTGAACAGCTTAGCCCATGCTCAATGTTTATTGCTGTCATCATCCTTATTCTCTTTTTCCAAGGTCTAGGCCATACCCACAAAAAGGAGGTTGATGAGATACCAAGTGGCTGGTTTATTGGAAAGGAGGGGGCATTCAAGGCTGGAGTGGGATGGTGTAGATGCAGATAACACAGTAGTTTGAATATACCGGTCATACCCTCTCTCCTCTGCTCATGGCTTTGCCTTGCTTATGGAAAAGCCCAAGCACCAGGGATGGTCTATAAGGCCCTCTATGATCTGGGATTAGGTGACTATGACTTACTTATCCTTCACTTGTTCTGATCTAGACACAAGCATGCTCTGGCCTCAGGGCCTTTCCACTTGCTCTTCTTTCTACTGGAATGGCCTCTCTTTAATTTATGCATGGACCGCTTCCCTACTTCCCTTTGGGTTGTGCTGAAAAGCCATTCTGGTAGGAAGCTTTTTCCTACTGTGCTATTTCAGTCACTACCTTCCATCCTTACTTTTCTGTTTTGTGTTTCTCCACTGCAGTTATCACTATACAACACAGTATAACACAGTCAAAGTAAACACTTTGACTTTTTAATCTGTTTCTCCTACTAGAATGTGCATTCCACTGTGGAATCTCCAAGTCTCAGAACAGCATGACACGTGTTAGGTACTCGTGAACTAGTTTTTGAATGAATCAATGTGTAAGAAATCCTGCATATGTCCCTATTTGGATTCTAGTCAGAACTTTGGCACTGTTTGATTTCCCTTCTCTGAGCCTCAGTTTATCCGAGTATAAAATGATCTCACACTGCAGAGCCACCCCAACAAGCTGCTGGGATAGGATGAATACAAAGGGGTAACTGAGTGGATGGAGCTGTAGGCCCTCTGCTAAGTCCCCCTCCCTTCACCACCTCAGATGTGCCTGTTTTATGTTTTACTGGAGTCTATGAAAGGTTTAACCTACTCAGAGGAAGGTTATCTATTGGCTTAAAAATATCTGAAAGCGGTTCCTGTGGATGTGGCCTGAGGTCTCTTGCACTGGGAACCTGGAACTCCAGGATAGGAGTGTCAAACAATAACACAGGCCCTTTGCACAGTCAATAGGACCTCCTGAACCTGGTTGTGTCCCGCCTGGCAGAGGAGGAAAGGGTCTGCTACCAATGCTCTGGACTCACCTGTGACATATGAACCACCTCGAACCAGCGCAGGATGCCTGGCAGCTTGTATGCAGTCATAAAGGAGGTCCTCTCGATCCACATTGACTGTCCCGGGGGGACGGGATGCAAGGGCAAGAAAGCAACACATTCATGAAGCCTGAGCATCAAGAAAGCCTGGCGGAGGCCCTGCCAGGCCCCCAGAGGCTTCCCATCTGCCCAGGAGCAGAAAAAACACTGCAAGATCTAGAAACACACTTGGCTGTGTACTGAAGAATTCTTTCCCAGCATGAAGCTTAAGCTTTCCCTGGACTTAGGAAATGAGAAAACCCAACAGAGTGAGGAGTGGGTGTCATCACAGCCGTGAATGTTAGTCTCATCTTCTCTGATTTTTGATCAAGTTCCCTCCCATTCTGGGCTGGCAAGGGGCATGATCTGGTTGCTGAAGGAGGTCCAGGGTAGGGGAGATACTCACAGCAAACTCGTTCTCAGGGTCTATGGTCCCCTTGCGCACAGGGCGGGAGTAGTGGAACCTTTGCACGTAGTTGGATTTGTAAAAGCTGAAAGACGGGAAGAAGCCAAGGCTCGTGCTAACTATGTCCAGCAGCGGACCCTTGATCTGGACTGCACGGTGGGATGCTCATCACAGCACACACCATGTCTAGAAGAGTCCTTGTAGCTATGCTAGAAATCAGGTTCTGTGCTCTGGGTGCCTCCAAAGTGGCTCTTACACAGGCTCTCCTGGTAAGGTGACTTAACGCTGCTGTTATGCCCTCAGGAGAACATAGCACCCCCAGAGTATCCAGGCACTTGGAATGCTGGTATTAATGCACATACAGTGGCCTACATCTTCACTTCCTGGACCCTAGTACTGAATCTAGGTATCACAGGGGTGTCCTCCAAGGATTTCTTTAGCAATGCCAATTGTCCCCTTAAATCATTCTTCTGAGTCCCTGGCCAGGCCTGACAGTATTGCTAGCAGGACACTGTACTCACTGTAGAGCTGTTGTCACCTGCCCATGGGTACCTGAGCAAGAGGGTAAGGGAAAGCTTTGATCCCAGCTCGGTGTCCCCCCTTGGGCATGGCACTTGGGTGAGGTGAGTGGAAGGGCTAACTCTATACCCTATACAAAAGGGGCTGCCTCTCCCTAAGTAATCCCTGTTTCTGGCCACCCAGAAGAAAGGACTTTTTCTAAGACACACAGGTGATCCTCTTTGGTCCCTGGGCCTGGGGTTCAGGAGGTAAGCCAGAGAGCTGGCAAATACGCATAACTGGGACCTACAGACCTCCCACCTCATAGCCTCATCAATTATCTTGCAACCCGGTATTGGATGGATTGACACTGCCTTTATGTTTCTTTATCTACTGTCCCTTTAACATAATCTGAGCACATCCATTGTCAATGTACAACCCTCCCAAATACTGAGAAGAGATCCCTTTGGAAGAATGTGCTCAACATGCCCGAGGCCACCCTGTGCTTATCTCGCTACTCTGCTAAGCCAACACTTTCTGGTTGCTGGTCACTTGGGGCCACTCTAGGGTCAGCCTAAGGAGTAGCTTTCCATATCCATTTCAATGAATCTCATCAGTGTCTAATGAGGATTCACTGTGCCACAAAGCCAATCTTAACCCTGATTCTCCCATCCATCTCTGGCTTTAGCCTTGTCAGGGGCAGAACTGAGCTAATTGAAACAATTCTTCCAAAGAGAAAAGGGAGAAACTGGCTAAGGTACAGTAGAGCCCAGGGCCTGTCCTGCCACCAGCTCAGTGTGATGGGCCCTTTGGAGTTCCCTCCCCCACTCCTCTTTCCGGGGGGCTGCAGGTCTTACTTTATGATCTGATCAGGCACTGGCTTGTTCTTGAATCTGGGGTGTTCATCCAAGACAGGTTGGACAGTGAAACACTGGATGTCTGAAATCCCTGAAGTTAAGGACTTACAATATGTTTGTTGGCCTCAGAAACAGTTCCAAATGTAGCAGGTTCCAGCTGAAAGCTCCCAGCCCTGCCCTTCTGGGGTCACATTTTTCTTGAGTAATCAACTTCAAGTTGCTGGCTCCCAACCAGGTCCTAATGACCAGTTAGCAGTCTTTGTGGTTTTTATCAGGTGCCTGTCACCCCACAACCCCATCTCAGGGCTTTATTCCTGCTAGAAGAGTTAGTGGCATTTTGTCATCATCACCATTGCTATATTATCATTAAAAATAATGCCATCTAATGAATGCATACCTCTCCATCAGTTTCAGAGCACATCTCCCCATGGTTTTGTTTACACTCTCTAACTCCTCTCGAAGGCATTATTAACCTAAATTGTCCCTGTTGAGGTCAGAAAAACCAGCCAACTTGTTGAAGATCACAGAGCTGGTAAGAACAGAATTAGAGTTTGTATTTAGGTATTTTAACCCTACATTCAGAATTATTTACTCTAGGCTTATTCAAAGATGGTCCTCTGGCTGGCCCCATCAGTGGCTTATTAGAAATACTGACTCTCGGGTCCTACCTCAGATATTCAGAGTCAGAACCTATATTTGAAAAGATCCCTGGGTGATTCATATACATGGTGATATTTGAGAAGGACTACTTTAGGACATGCAACAAGAGAGTTTCAAAGCAACTACCTGATGCAGGATTGTAAGGATCTCTGTCCAGGCTTAGCAGGAAAGTTTCGTGATCAGTTAGTGATGTCTTCTAAGGGCACATGACATCAGATGGGTATCATTGGGGCCAGATGTTTATTGTGATTTATTCTAAATCTGTCTTCATTCATTTTAAGCCAGAGTCTGATAAATCAAATGAACAGAGTCAGTAGTCACTGGTCCCATCCCTGACCCCTGCTTTCCTTTCCTTATCTTCTATGTCTTCTCTACCCATATCTCTTTCCTCCATAGACCACTATAACTTCAAACGTCTTCCCCCGACATGTCTCTTGTTGGCTTTTGAAGCTATATCCAGATGGCTGTGACCCACTTTCCTACCATTATCTCTGGCTAGCAACAGATATGCTCCCCACTTGGAACATTTTCCCTCCCTACCATTCCTCCCCCTGGGAGCCTGTCAGACAGGTGTCAAACACCACAGCCCATGAAAACTAATGGCACCCACTTTAGACAGGAGCCATTTTCCTTCCTTTGGTTCCCATAGCATCTTTCTACACTTCTACTAGGATCAGGTCTTTGCACCCCATCTCACTCCACCCTTACCCTCCAGATTATATCTCATCCTGATGGTGGAGGCTATGTATGATTTTTTTTTGACACATAAGAAATGGCCAAAACAAAATTACAAATAATTAAATTGTTGCTCTTTGATAAACTTATTCTATGCAAATACATTGGCAATTTGACAGTTTCACCTCTGAAGAGTACTTTCACATAGAATGAGGATCCCTTGGAAAAAGGCAATAGTTCACCCAGATGAATCAATCTTAATGGAAGCACTTCTAAAAATCTCAAGAAAACCGTTTTCTTTCTTAGCCACTACGGACAACAGCCTGTCCTGGGAGGAAAATCTGTCTGGATTAAGCCTGTAGGGGTTGGCAAAGTATGGTGGGTCAAATCCAGCTCATCCTCTGTTTTAGTATGGACCAAAAGCTAAAAAGGCTTGGTATTTTCAAATAGCTGGGGAAAAATAATGCTTTGTGGCATGTAAAAATGATATATAAAATTCAAAATTTCAGTGCCCATAAAGTTTTACTGGAAAACAGCCAAGCTCATCTGTTTATGTCTTATCAATGGCCGTTCTCCCAGTACAACAGCAGAGTTGTGCAACTGTGACAGAAAAGTTGATAAAACCCCTTAAGAGAAGATTCTAGGTATATCTACTGATTTTTTTCCATTGGCCTTAACCCAAAAGGAAAATTGAGACCTATTCCTGGGAAGCCTGTGATATGAGTCCCTTGAGTTGCTCCAGGAGGTTACAGGGCTGGACTCTCAGACTGTGCACTAAACCTAGCATGGACTTAATAGCCTCCTGCAGGCAGACCTGCACGTTCCATCTTCTCCTGTCTGGATACCTAAATGAGAACACATGTGACTTGTCAGCTTCCCAAACTACTTGCCAACTTTCTAACAAGGGAAGAGAACCGAGTATCAAGAATGCAAGATTTTGGCAAAAAGCAGGCCTGAGTTCAAATGCTGACTTCATTGCTTCCTAGCTGTGACCTTGTTCAAGTGCTTAAAATTTCTGGGCCTCAATTTTTTTGTTGTTGGTTTTTGTTGTTGTAGTTGTTAATTAGAAAAATGCAGAAAGCAGTACTACTCAACTAACCCTGCTGGGATTGTTATGAAGAAAATACAAAAACAATGCATATAAAATGCCTAAGTCATGGAAAACAGTTAATTTTTTTTTTTTTTTAAGATGGCAAAATAGAACACAGGTTTTGAGACAGACAGATCTTGGGATTCAAATACCAAACCCACCACGAATTAGCTTTATAATCTTAGGCATATCACTTTGTCTCTCTGCCTCACATATTCCTTCTCAATGAGTAGGAAAAGCTAACATTCAGCTTACAGTGTTTTATGGAGTTTAAAGGAATAGTTGTCATAAAGCACTCAGTCTCATGAAGAGAATATTTAGCCCATGTCGGGCCTCATCCTTTTCTTTACCACCTGGTTCTTTGCACTGAGCCAGGCCTTAGGGCCCTAAATATGATATGAACCAGAAATACACGCTCTCTCTTCCATGCCAAATAAAAGGCCACACAGCTGTTTGGTACCAGGATGTCCCCTTAGCAGGGCCTTAGTACTAATCCTGTGTCTCGCCTGTAACCAAACTTGCATTTGTAACCAGCCAACTTTACTACCAGTTGTATTTCCTCCTGCAAATAATCAGGGTGGAGTAGAGATGAAGGGCAGGCAAGCATAATGAAAAGGTTACAGCTGAATATTTATCACCCAAGGGGAAAATATTTGGATTAAGGTCCAGCAGATTTAGCAGACCAGCAATGCAACCTGTCAATCCCATTTTAGTGGCAGTAACTTAATCTGTGGTAAAGAGTGCAATGCAGGGAGCCAGGCAGGGTTAATGTGCTCCCTGGCTCAGCAGTTGGCCTTATTCTGGCCTTATATGATCCTGGTCACCCTGCATCCTGACTCCTGCCCAGTGTCCACTCCTGGCCCTATGAATGCCTCCCACACCTCCCAAGATCCCTAACATCAGCTTCCTGCACCTCTGCTCTGCCCCAAGCACTCCAAGTGGCGTGACACCTCCCTGCCTCCCTCCTTCCTTCTCTATCAGTCTGTTCTCTTTGCTTTCTCACTTGTTTTCTTTTTCTTCCTGTTAATCAATAAATATTTCCTGAGTTTAAGCTCTGTGCCAGGCACCCTGGGAGAAAGGGGATTAGTGCAGGAAACGAGAGAGCAAAGGTTTTTCCTCATGGGCTGACATTATCTTTCACAGTCATATATCTTTAAGAAGCACCCAAGATTGTGACAGATAGAGGTCATTTCCATAAAGAAAACAAACAGGGTTTGATAAAACAGGGTCTCAAAGAGTCCAGAAAAGGCCATGTTAGATAAAGTGACCAATGAAAGCCTCCTCCAGGAGGTGACATCAAGGTGGGGATCTGACAGGTGAGTAGGAGTCAGCTGCATAGGCAGCTGGGGGAAGGGCATTCCAAGCAGAGGGGAGCAGAGAAAGCAAGAAGAACATGAAGACGGGAAGGAAGAGTTGCAGGTGATGATGTTGGGCAGGTAGGAGACGGCTCATAGACAGCTTGGAAGGCTTGCTCGAGGCTTTTGGTTTTAATATAATAGCAGTGTGGGGTCAATTCAGTCCTTGAAACCTGCTGTGCTCTTTACAAAAGGCCTTTGCACACCAGCCTCCTCCTTTCTGTCCAAGGGCATTGGGCATCTCCCATCTCTCACTAAGCTTTGGCTAGTTACTTATCTCCCCCATCATTTTACTCAAGGAAGCCTTCTCTGCTCTCCCAGACAGAATACCCTGCACAGCATCTTCTTGACATGGCTTATATTTTTATAAATAAATATTTAATAATGCAATTAATTGCTCAGTGTCTCTTTTACTTGCTACCTGCAATGCTTCCAGAAAGTAGGACCATGTTATAATTTTATTATCATCGTTATTATTATTATTAATTTTTTTGGTACCAGGGATTGAACTTGGGGACCTTACACTTATGAGGCAGGTGGCGGCACCACTAAGCTAAATCCCCAGCCCCACGATGTAATTACTACCTTCACAGTGCTTGCAGAATAGAGCCAAGGCTTGAGGGTATTCATTACCAAGATGAATGAAAAGGTAGTGAATTAATCAGTGGTACTTAGAACATGCAGTCATCCCAGTGTTTCCTGGGATCTGGTTCTGGGACCCTTGGTAAATACTAAAATCCAAGGATACTCAAGTTCCTTACATAAAATGGCACAGTATTTGCACACCCTGTGTTATACATCAAGCCATTTCCAGATGACTTGTAATACCCAATACAGTGTAAATGCCACAAATAGTTGTTATGCTATATTGTTTAGGGAATAATGACAAGAAGAAAGGTATGTACATGTTCAGTACGGATTCATTCTTCTCCCAAATATTTTCAATTTGCAGTGGCTAAGACCCCAGGGGCAGAACCCAGGGGTGTGGAGGGTGAAATGTACTGAGCTGGGTGTTCTGGATCGCACACTTGGCACTCAAGCTGGCACACTGCAGTCATTATGGTAGCAGCACTGAGTCCATAGGGCTAAGATCTCAACAGGCTAAAGTCCCTGCAGGGCTGCTCGTGCCTGGCCCCGTGGCTGGTGCACTCCCCAAGGATACACTGGCCTGGGGCATTCTTCACATCATCAGCAGGAGCAGAGGTCGTGTTCATCTTCTCTGCATTGGGGAACTGGCTCATGAGCTGCATCTGGAAGTCTTCCCTCCGCTCATACTCCTTCCCACGGTAGATGAACACTTTGTTCTGTAGAGAGATGACACCTGTCAGAGATGCCAGGCCCCAGTGTGGAGGATGGGGCCCAAGCAAAGCCAGGAGGCTTCCTTCCAAAGGAAGGGAAAGGAGGAGGAGCTCAACCCACTGACCTGCTGGGCACACCACTTTATGCAGACTGGTTCTACAGGTAGAGAAGATTGTGGATACGGAGAACTTTCTTCTTTAAACCATTCCATGTACAGCTTCCAGCATAATTACTCTCTCCACATTTATACATGTCATACCCTCTTGGTTGACATGGGCATAACATTTCCCTCCTGCCTTTAGCAGACCATGTGAGCTGGGTCTGTGGGCTGGCAGGGACCAACATCCAAGTCCTTCTTTACAGGCCGCCTGGTCCTGAGCCCCTAGAATGCGCTTTATTCTTCCCTGCTCACATTTGCCTCTTTTATACCAGAAATTCCCAATCAGGAGTGATTTTCCTTCCCCTCTCAGGAGATATGGGCAATGCCTCCTATGCAGTGAGGTTTGAAAAGTCACCTCTGCTTCATCCAAGAGGACCTCACCGTCCACCCTTACCTGTGCCCACAGTGTTCACTGCCTCAGCCCACTGCGATTCCACATCCACTGGTAGAGATTTCCTCAACTATAAAGTCAGTCAAGTGAGGTCAGGGATCAGATTTGCTATTCCCTCTGACACTAGGATTGAGCCATAGAATCACAGAATGGAAAGAAGCCTATAGGTGACTTCATGTAATCCCTTACAAGTGGATGGAGAAGCCTCTAGAGCAGCAGTGATGCTCCTTGAGGGTCCCCAAGACCTTTTCAAGGACTCAGAAGACCAAAGCTATTTTCATAATAAAACCGTTAGTTGCCTTTTTACTCCCATTCTCTCATGAGTATATGGTGGAGCAATCCAGAGGCTGTATAGTATGGACGGCAGCAGATTAAAAATGCAGATAGGGAATCCCACTGTCTTTCTTAAGCCAGATATTAGAAAGCTGCAGAAATGTGAAACAATCCTGCTACTTTCAATGATTTTTTTAAAACACTGAAATGTGTATACATTTTTCTAAAATATAACTCATACCAACATGTGATATTTTATTTTTAAATACACCACCTGATATTTAAAAATTTCTGCTTTTAGTTTTCATATGATATATGCACATAGAGATAATCTACAAACTTTTCTGAAATCTTCAGTAACTCAAGTGAGTAAAGGTCTGAGAACTCTGCTCTGTAGTAACTCCTGGAGAGCAGATGTCCTCCAGCCTCTCAGACGTCTTTATATCAGCGATGGGGAGCTCACCGCCTCTTGAGACAGCTCTAGTTGTGAGCAGAAACAGCAGGAGGCATCTGTTGGGGCTGCTGGCAGCACCCAGCTCACCTTCTGAGCCGTGCCCTTCAGAACACAAGCTGATCTTCAAAGCACACAGGGACATCGAGATGCCAAGGCCCCGGAGCCTAGTCTGATGTCTGGATCACTTCAAACTCACCCGCAGAAAGGTGGGGAATCCCTGACCATAGTATCCAACAGCAAAGTAGTCTGGTTTGGGCCTGAGGATTTTCATGATATTTTCATAGAATTTTGCCTGCTGATTCTGAAAGTAGAAAACACAATTTATGATAATGCAGATGTGTACCCAAGGCACACTTAACGCAAAGAGTCCTCAGGTAAGGCGTTAGCATTATACCAAAACCAATGTGGCAAATGCATAAAACAGCATTTCAGTGGCTATGTCTGTAATCATGTAACAGCTATGTTCACGGTGTGTCAGGTACTGTTAGTCACTCTACCTGTACTAGCTCATTCTTGCATCATTTTTGGGACAATCCCATGAAAACCTCCAATTTATAGTGAAAGAAAATGGTACCTCAGTGAAGCCAGTGAGTGTGGAACTGAGCCTGCTCCCTGCCATAGCCACTGTGTCCCCAACTCCACACACACTCAGCTGCGTATGTGTGAAGGATATTCAAATAGATCAGTGTGTCTGGATGGAAATGTCGTCCCATGTGTGCATACCTAATACATCTCATCAATTCTAACATCTATAAAAACAGTTTGTATTTTACTGTATACTTTGGGGCCTCTTACATTGCTATTAGTCTAAAGAAATCATGATGTAGCACACAGGCACACACACACGTGTACATGAACATACATGCCACACACAGGGAAAAGCATAGCTCATGTATTCAACCTGTTACGGAAGTTCTATGTGGAGCGAGATGGGTGCCTGTGTGACAGCACTATTGTGCAGGGTGTGTGCATGGGTGTACTGTACGTGCGTGTACATAAATGCATGTGTTTGAAGGCACGACTGCCTCCAAGTCCATCTTTGCAGATGTGTATGTGGGGCAGATGTTAAGCGTCTCAAGGTGCAAACACAGGAGTATTTTTGCATCAGATCTTACACGCGATGAAAACAGCTAACAACTTGGCTGCTTTTTACAAGATCACCAGATTTCCCTCCTCCAAAAAGCTATCAATCATCTCTCAACATTCTCACTCTCATTTCAGAGTTTCCTGGAAATGTCTGCACTTGCCTCTCTCAATGGGTTGAGAAGGTGTCCTGGGGTCCTGCAACTCAGACAGCCAAGAAATATGTGGGGGGTTGTGGGGAGGAGGGGGAGCAGCCAAAAAGTTCTGCATCTCTCCCAAAGAGGCCAACTGGGGCCAAGGCCAGGCGTCTGTCTGCAGCACAAGTGGAGCCCCCCTACTTTCCTCATCAAGTCCTGAGCATCAAGATGCTAATGGAAGAAGCCAGATGGGGAGCATTTGAATGTGATTTATCTGTTTATCAAAAAGCACAAATTTGTGTTTGTATTTAATTGCTTTAGTGATTTGTGAAGCTTTTACTGCAAATGTAGCACAGTGTTTACTGTGCATGTAGCAGCAGCAAGCAGCAGCACCAGAGCCGCACAGGAACCAGCCGCTCCATCCAACTGACCCGAAGGGAGATGCAAGGCTCACCATGGCCTCACATAGGCCCTACCACATTCTTTGTCTCATTTCTAGTCCTGCCTGGTCTCCTGCCTTCCTTGCCCCAGCCCCCAGCTTGTAGGGCAGCAGCCTCCCGTGAAGACCCTTACCAGGTTCAGGCTGAGCAGCTCATAGTCGAAGATCTCCATCTCATACTGTTCGGCCAGTTCCTTGCACAGACTAATGGCCTCTTCCCACATCTACAAAAGGTCACAGAAACAGAGGTTAGGGGACCCCCCCCCCCATTCTTTCCACAGCCTTTGCTGAGAAAGGGCTTCAAGCTGGCTGTGCCCCCTGGGTCTGAGTTTCAAGCCTCATTCTGACCCAGATCCACCTTCCATGCAGAGAGAGCCAGGGGCTTCCTGGGAGGATGACCTTTCCCTGGGCTCTCATCCTAGCTTCTTGATAAATAATGGAGTGGGCTAAACATTTTATTCATATGTTCTCTGGTTCTTCCTAGCCATTCTGGGCAGTAATTAACAGCATCCCTGTATCCCAGGCGAGAAACAGGGAGAAGCAATGCTACCTGCCCCAAGTGCCATGTCCAACCAGAAGGAGGGCCAGGATGCAAGCACAATGGATGTGATTCTGTTTCTTAAGGGTTTGGTAAATTAAACCTTTGCCTCCTCCCACTTCCCTGGTTGCAGGGTGAGCAAGGGGATGTTGGTCACATCTTCCAAAGAGAAATGGTTCACAGAGAAATGAACAAATAGCCTGAGTTCAGAGAGTGTCTAGGGACAAAATTGGGAGTAGATCTCAGATTCCTTGAAGTTGAGTACTGGGATCTTTCCCACCTGCCAATCCTGTTATTTCTTTTTATTTTTTTGGTACCAGGGATCGAACTCGGGCCCTTGCACTTGCAGGGCAAGTAGCAGAACCATTGAGCCAAATCCCCGGCCCTCAATGCTATCATTTCTTAACAGGATGATGTGGTTGTGGAAATAAGTGGAGGCAGCACAGAGATGGTGATGCTAGAATATTTTTAAAGAATGATTAAAATTGTATTGTAGTAGGCCTGTCTTTGCCATTTTTAAAACCGAGTCTGAAAAAAACCCCAGGACATGAGCAATCTTTATTCTGTGCCCTGCGTAGGCCAGAAGCCAAGATCATCCCACCATCTTAGATTCAAGAGGGCCAGGAGTCTCCTCAGACAGGCAAGAGAGACAGTCAGTCTCCTCAGACAGGCAACTTCAAGGGATCTCCAATATATATCACTCTGGATTTGAAATGGAGAATGTTTCTAAATGGAGAGCAGGGTGAGGAGAGAGAGGAGGTTGCCAAAATGCAGTGTGAGCTTTGAAACAGAAGTGTCCTTTATGCATCCAAGCATAAAAATAAATAAATCCCAGTGCCGAGTGGAGGTGCCATGGCTGTAAACCTGAGGACAGCTTAGTGAGTAGCATAAAAATGCTTTATGTGCCAGAAGGAACCAAGTCTACGAGCTTCCCCCTGGACAAGAAGACTGTATAGCAAGGCGCCTAGTTAGGCAAGGGGATTGTTTGGCTCAAGCACAGGCCTTTGCCAACTTCCCACCATAACACAAACAGGGTGACAAAATGCTCTCCCTGTGTGTTAAGAGATCACTAAAAGACCAGGGAAGGGGCAGGGCAGGAAGTAAGATGCCCAGGAGTTCCTGCTCATCCCCTTGGGAACTCTGACACGCTCTGGCCTATCTGAGCCTTTTTATCTGACAGGCTGTGGCCTATCTGAGCAGCGACTTGGTTCTGAGCATGTTCATGGGCACTGATGTAGGCAGTGATGGATCAGAAGCAGAGACAGATAAGAAACAAGCTTTGCTGTCATGGCAGCAATGGGTGAAGAATGGGCATCATGGATGTAAGTGTTGGGTTTTAAAGGAGGAACAGGCATCCATCCATGGGGTGATGGCAAGTTGCACTTGTGGAGAAGAAAACCACTGTATATGTGCACCGGTGATTCCCTGAAGAAATGTGGAGAAAGCAAGACGAAAACAGTGGTAACAAGTTTGGGACTCTTTCTAGAAGTTTCCAGAGAAGTGGCTTTCAGGGTGACCTATCCCTGCCTCTTCTCTGCTCCTAGAGTATGTCGACACCACCCTATTTCTTGCCTTCTCCCTCATAACCACACAGTGCAAAGGGCAGCATGCACAGTTGGTAATGATTGATAATTAGACAGTTACTCTCGGAGCTTGGGGCTCATGCTTTTGTCCTCTTTGGTCAGCACACAGTGGGGTGAATTGAACACAAAGCTCAACAGGTCGTTCTGGAGTTCTCACACTCTGGCTGACTTAACCAGCCAATGAACAGACAGGAAGCTCTGATATGATGCCCAGCAGGGCTGGAGGCTCAAGGGACCGCAGAGTCTCTGCCCTCAAGAGGCTTGGAATTGTAAATTATAAAAGTAGTCTTTTCCAACTGCTCAGCCCTTAGGGAATTTATAAGCCCTAATGCAGACATTACCTCATTTTATCTTTCCAGGGAAGGTGGAGATCAGACTAAGACAGATGCAATGAACAGCACTGACAGGACAGACCACAATTAAGTGTTAAGTGGTGTCCTGATAAACTGTAAGATAACTGGAAATTCAGCAGAAAGACAAGATTGTAGGTAAGCTGGAGCCTTGAGAAAGGCTTGATAAAAGAAGTGAAGCCACTGGGTAATAATAATAATGAAAATTTAACAAGGTGTTACCATGTACCAATTCCTGTGCTAGGTGTGGTATGTGTGCTTTCTCACCTCATTTTCGCCCTACAACTAGAAAGTAGGTACTAGTAGTACCTCACTATGGTGGATGGGGAATTGGAGTCTCAAGAGGGAAGGCAAAGAGTGGGTGGTAGAGAAGCAAGGGATGGACTCCAGATGTCCAGGAGCAGAGCCTGAGCACTTAGTTGCCTGCTACGACACATCCCCTCAGGACAGGCGATGGGCTTCCTGTAGTCTTCCAGGTACTGGAGCTGGTCGGTCCAATCTCCTGGTCAAACCCAACCAAGAACCTTTGCTATTTAAAGATCAAGGATGTCACCATAATGTCTTCCACCCACTCAGTCTGTTCATTTATCCAGCATGTATTCACTGGTCCCTCTGTGTGTCAGCTTCCGTTTTAGCCTCTGCGCATCCATCAGTGGACAAGACCAAGCCTTTACTCTCACAGCATTCTACAGTGGGAAGCAGACAATAAACAGGTAAAGCCAAAATGGACAAGCTGATTTATTATAATGACAAGAGCTTTGAAGAAGCAAGAAGGGTGATCAGGGCAGGGTGGAGGTGGTCTGGAAAGGCCTCCTTGAGGGCGTGACATCTGAAAAAATCCAAATCAGTGAGAAGAGCCAGCTCTTTCCTCCACAGGAAAGCCATGGAAGAGGAATGCTCCAAGCTAGTAAAAAGCAAGTGCACAGGTCTTGAGGTTAAAAAGAGCTTGGCATAGAGCGCATGAGAAAGAGGAAACATGGGAGGGATGAGACAGAGAGGCAACGAAGACAGAGATCATATGAGGCTTCACAAATCATGGGAAGGATTGCATAATTTAAGTAGAATGGTGGAGTCATTGAGATGATTATAAGGCTCCAATATATGTTTTATGATCATCTTATTTTGTATATGAAGGATAATCTGTTAGAGTCAATAGAAGCAGCAGAGAAACTGCTTATGATCCATTGTGGTATCCAGGTGAGTGATGTTGGTAGCTTAGATGGAGATAGAAAAAAGTGATCAGATACAGGATTTGGGAGGACAGCTGGCCAGACCTGAGGATGGACTGGGTGGTGTGGAGTGTGGGAGAAAACTGTCCTTCCCAGGTACTGGGATCCTCACAGAGATAAGATAGGCAGGGTCAGATTACCTTTCCTTTATCAAAGTAGCCTATGATGGTCTCATAGAGCGACTCTTTCAGCTGCCGGTGGGTCTGGGGGTGCTGATGTCCAGTCTGCATGACCTGTGATGCACACTGCTCATCTGACCACTGTGAAGAGAGGACATTGAATCACATGGGGCCAAGAGCTGCCAATGGCAGGTGTCTTCCCAGGACTAAAGGAAGAAACCACCTTCCCTGGGCCCTTTTTCTCCTCCATGCCAATTTCAACTCAGTTTGGGAGCTTATTGCAACAGGGGGAGGCTCCCTCATGGGACATGAGTGCCAGAATTTCTGGAGTTTTCCCTTCAGCACCTCCAGTTCCTAGAACAAATGAGTGAATGAGGGATATTAGAAACGCACCAACAAGGAGTGAGAGGAAGCTTTGTAAACATCCTCCCCTGGTGGTGTGTGCCCGAGACAATGGGTGTTGGTGGGCGGGGGCTAACTTACAATTTCCATTTGTGAAATGTGTCCTGACTTTTGCTATGTTGTACTTATGAGGCTCTCTATTGACTCACTGTATATACTCTGTAAGGATTTTTTTCTAAACCCTGATACGACATGGTCCCAGCTTCAAAAGCCAAGGAGATCATTCAGGCTTTGTCCGGCTACAGCAAAGTTTTCAAGAGAAGGAGGCAGCTCACTGGGCATGCTAATGATTTTATTGTTTTGATTCTATGTAACACTGCAAATCGTATCTCAGGGCTTATTTTTGCCAAATGTAAAGGTCACCGAAAACCTTACGTGATTAGGTGAAGTAGGGCAGAGAAACATACAGCCAGGTCAAGGTTTTAAGTCTACTGAGAATCAAAATTTACTTGGCTGATGTTTTCTCTTTCTCTTTTGTCAACTCTTCAGCTTACTGTGAGGATCTGCTGGGGATCTCCTCCATCCAAAGTGGCAGTACCTTGAGAAGCCAGGTGTGAAGAAGCAGCGTGTAGGCAGCCTCTGTGTAATTGTCACAATCCAGGTGAAGATCACGGAGTTTGTAGAGGTACCTGTTTGGGGGAAAATATCCTGAGCTACCAGGTACAGTGATAAGGAGGCAGGCAGCAGGCTGTCTGTATCACTGAAAGCTCCCAAAATCCTTGCCATCACTGCCCTAGATCATTGAATTCACACGACAATCCTGGGAGATAGGTCCACTGTGGATTTCCATTTTTAGAGGAAGAAACCATGGCTTACAGAAGTTAGGAACTAACCTGGGCAGCATTTAACTTGCTGATGAATAATCTGGCCAATGCAATATGGCAAGGAAGAGAAATAAAAGAAGACCAGATAGAGAAGTCATCAGAAATCATCTGCTAATCAACAGAAAAGCTGTGTTGGGATCAGCACTCTTAATCACTGTGTGATTCCAGAAGCAAGAACAAGTCACCATAGCTGTAAGGGGCAGCTCCAACCTTCTCTTCAGTGTTCTTTAAGCATAAAGAAAGGGAAAAAGGAAGCTGGTGAGGGGCTGGAGAGTGGTTATCCACATGAAGGCTTTGAGCTGTCAAAAGGAAAATTCTACTATTAAATGACAAACCACATTCACATATCCTGTCCCTTTGCAAAGTGACATTCTACTTCTGAGCCCTGGGATGACAATTCAGTTGACAAGGTGCTGAGAAGAGGAACAGAAACAAACAGAACTGCAGTAAATTCTTAGATAATTGATCTAGACTTGGTATTAATAGGCAGTGAATTCACTGCTCTGTGCCTTAACTGGCTTATCTGTAAAATGGCAAGGGTCATAGAATCTACCTATAGATTTGCTCAGCATGTAAAGGGCCAAGCAGACTGTGTGTTCCATATAAAGGGCTCCATAAGTGGCAGCTAGGATTGCTGCTTGTTACACTGAAAGGGATTAGCCCGTGGCTGGCAACAAGCAATGGCAGCTGTTATCTATTATCATAGTGAACTATGTTTTCCTACAAAACATTCACTCCTGCCTTTGCTGCAAACAGACTCCAGAGCCAAAAGAGTCAATGCTTTGGTGACGTGCATGTCATTAGGGTCATTTATTTACACCCAACTCTTGGCAAGCTGGTGAGGGTAACAGGCTTGAGTTTTCCTGTGGGAGGAGAGAGCTGTCCCATGCTGCCAGGATTTTGCCCTGACCCACTTTCTCCCTCTGGGCAGAATGGGCTCAGGCTTTGATGCTCAGGCTTAGGTTCCAGTTACAGGAAAGACTTTCTGTACAGAGCTGATGTCCAGTGTCCCCGGCCACATAAAATGTGATTCATGAGCTGAAAGTTGACTATCTGACCTCAGGCTAGGGACTATGAAGGATTTTGAGGGGAAGAAAAGCCACTAGGATTCTCTAGTGGCCTTTTGTTCATCCTGGGTGCTGAGCATTGAGGTTGTACCAGACAGTAGTATGCTCAATTAGGCCCTGTGATTTGGATTTGGGATTTATGGTCTAAAAGAGACAGATGGGAATCAAATCGTCAAATGAATAATTACAGAAATGCAATTGTGGTAAATATTTTGAAGGAGAGGTCTATGGACTACAAACTATATTTATCCAGGTAGAGGGAGAAGGGGCTTTCAGAAAGGGTTCTGGCCTGATAGTTGAACTGGGCTCTGAGAGGGAGGAGATGAGTGGAGAACCATCAGACAGATTCACTCATTCATTCAATAAGTGAGTGTTTTATTGTCATATATCATATCAATTTATCCTTCCAGCCTCACTCTTACAATGAGGAAACCCAGACCTACATTACAATGTCCAGAGCCAGAAACAGGTAAAAGCAGGTGTCTCATTTGACAGGGTTGGAATATTCTTTTCATTCTCCTTCCCAGCCCAAGACAATGTTTTGCTGGTCAGAGTTATCAGTGCAATTGAACAGGGCCTCCAGGCCGTGTGTGTAATTTGGAAACACCTGTGTGTGCACGCATGACTTCATCCTGCTTTATCTCTTCCTACCCATCCCCCTTCCCCTAGACCTCTAAGAGTCTGGGACCCCAAACTGGGAGGAGGTAGCCCAAAGGGGAACTTGTCTATAACTCTCAGCTTCTGTTTTGACCAACAGTGACCTTGCTCTTTGTTAATTTGAGATTTGATCACCTCCTACAGAGCCCAAAGGAAGACACCTCAATGAGTTTTCCCCAGGACATTGAGTCAGATACTTGCAGGTGCTTGAGTAAGGTGGGCAGTGGGAATAACCATAGGGAATAGGGACAATCTCATGACCACAGGGCTTTAATTAAGTCTAGAAAGGTCACTACCACCCAGTTCAGATGATGGCTGGCAGAATAGAATGAGGTCCTGGAGTTGCCACACTCTCTGAGTTTTTTAGAAGGAGATGTTGGCTTTTATATAAAATCTCTGGATTTAAAAATTTGGCAACCAAAGCCAGGCATGGTGGTGCATGCCTGTAATCCCAGGACTCGGGAGGCTGAGGCAGGAGGATCACTGTGAGTTCGAGACCAGCCTGGGCTACACAGTGAGTTCCAGGTCAGTCTCAACTACATAGTGAGACCCTGTCTCAAAAAAAAATTTTTTTTGTTTTGGCAACCAAATATAAAAATGTTTTTAAATAAGGTGTCTGCCAAATAGAGCAGGTTTTCAGACTATACTTATGCTTACAATGTCTGGTTTGGGCAAAAATGGCTTTCCTTGATTACTATACTTCCCAAATCTCCAAGTTTGTGGAAGTCTGGGATTCACCAACTGTGCTTCTAAAATGGGAAAGAGAGGCAAGAGGTTGGAGTGGAGGAACCATATGCCAGGCATGTTATCTTTAGTATCTCATTTAAACCTCAAAACAGAAGGTCGAATAGAAACATTACACAGAAAAGGAAACTTCAATCAACTACTGGAATAATCTACCCAGGGAAACAGTCTATCCGGCATCACAAGGTAAAGACCTCAGAGTCCAAAGATTTGTGGCAGCACAACATGTCATGCCTAATGATGCTATAAATAACCAAAGCTCAGGATAACCTATGGACTTTTTTCCCAAATACTTGTTTCTACTTCTGGAATAATGTTAAACTAAGTGTCTCACAATATCTGCATTGCTTTCAGTTAGGACTTGCAGGTTCTGCCCTTGGATGGAATAAGCCAACTCTTATAAATATTGGGTACCTTAACCGCTGGCTGTTTCCTTCAGGAGTACTGTGCAAAGGTGTATGTCCAAGGAGTCTATTGTTGTACTGTTTATTGTAGAACAAAATCAGAAAGAACCTAAATGTTCAACAATAGCAGACTGGCTATATCAGGTGGCATACGTCAGAAAGGTAATTTTTTAGTTTTATTAAAAATTATGTTGAGACATTATCACAGAATTATTGTCATGTAAAAGAGAGTGAAGAATGAATTATGAGTAATACAATTTCATTTTTGCAAAAGGTAATGCATGTATAGAGTTTGATGTATATAGAGACAAAAACGGTCTAGAAATAAGAATGGGTTATGGTAATTCATTTCATTATTTTGTTTTGCTTGTATTTTATGAGGTTTTTTTTTTTGTTTTGGTAAAATGTATTATTTTTGTAATGAGTAAAAAAAATAACAATTATACTTTCCAATAAATAAAAATGCCCAGAAAGAAGCAGGCATTATGCAACTTGACATTTTTTTTCCTTTCAAAGCCAGGCTATCCAGTGTCCTTTTCCACATTCCTGGACTAACTGGGGCTTCCCACATTAGAACAAAAAATGCAAATGCAACTCACATCTCAAGGCACAAAATATTTATGTTTAAGGACAGTGGGTACAGCAGGACAACACAGAGGTTGGAAAACTCCAAGTGGATTTATGGGGCTGATTATCAGAGAATGGAAAGAGCCTGGGAAATTATAGGAATCAGAACACAGAGGATCTCAGAACCAAGAAGAAGGGTTTAAATTCTATGTGGAAGGCAGCAGGGAGCCACCAATGGATACTGACCAGGGGAAGTATCATAGCAGGTCTGAGTTTCAGAAAATAAAATCTTACCTTATGTACATCTCTTCCCGGTTGTTATCTTTGTAGAAATTCTAGTTGGGGAGCAAAAACAGTGATGAGTGTTTTTCTTTACAGAGCTGTAGGGGTAGAGAATGCTGTGATGGAGATAAGAAAATGATATCTGGCTGTTTACTATCTGAGCCCTGAGATGGGAGCAAGACATTCACCTTGATGACTGCATCCAACAGCTTCCTTGGGAGAATCTGCTTTGCAAGTCACTTTCTTGACTATAAAGGGATACAGAGCCTGTCTCAGTCATCACATATGAGGGGATGTAGAGTTGAGCTATCTGCTGGGCTGAGAGGTAGGCTGCTGAGACTGAGCAGTCTCCTTTGACAAAGTCCACTTTGAAAAGCAGCCAGCTGAGCCTTGATAAGCTCAGGCCATTGAGTTTCAGGGACCTGAGCTGGAAAGTGAGTGATAGCATCTCTGGCATAATAATAGATGGTGACTCCGGACAGCACAGGGTTCTCAGCCAAGGTTCTAGGGAGCTGGGTCCCTCCTATTCCAGCTCAGGGCTCATTTAGACTGGAGGTGACCCAGGCTCCATCCACGAGAGATCCCAATTCTGTGAAATTTTAAAACAAATCTTTATCTACTCAGAGCCAGTAGGTTCTGAACCAATTTAAGATCCAAATCAGGGGCAAACTCTAATTCAATCTGACACACTCAGGTGTACCTCAGAGTGCGGCGGGTGACGTATGCCAGGGCACACAGTGGGGGTCAGATCTCAGGACCTAAGCTGCAATGACACCAGCCCCTCAACTACCATCCACCACTGAGACCCCTTCCCTGACACTGAGTTTGAGTCCCACACCAAAAAGTAGTAGGGGCTGACTGCTTATAGATCTGCACGTCTCAAGCATTCTCTCTGATCCTGCTCTGACTGCAAAAGGTCAATTTCTTTGCCCAGCTTCTGGCTCTCCTTAAAGAAATGGCTCAATTCCTAGAAAACCCCCTCTTCCTGCTCTTTATGTAAATTGGAGCAAGTGGAGTTATTAGAACTGAATTCCTTTCTGCTGTAGTCAGGAGTTTTAAACTCCCCTCAGCATTTAGGAAAATCAATGGCAGTACCTTAGCTGTTAAAAGAGTCCATATAAGGAAGGAAGGTGCACAGCAGAACTCAGGGACAGGATGCATATTACTGGAGCTCTGAGAATGGCAGGGGGTGAGGTAGTGGACGCCACATGGGCTTTGGCTAGTTTTCCTCATTTAAACCGTTTTAAGATGGACAGAAAGCACTGTGGTTCCATCTCCTGACCATGTCACACAATACCTGAGGGAGGCATTTGGGAGCTGGCTGGTGGGAGCTCATATAATTCAAGCATTGAGATCTTGTGTTTGGCATTAGCTGCTCTGGTTACCCTGCTCCCTGTAATTTTCTGTAAGCTCTAGTTTGTAGTGTTACTTCATTTAGGCAACTAGTACATGTTGAGCATTTAACTTCAGGCAAAGACTGCACAAACGAATAACCTACAGGCCAGTATTTTCTCCATGGAACAGAGAAGCAAACTAATAGGTCAGAACATCTCCATGACTGATCTATTCCATAGATTATCAAAGGCTGGATGAGAACCCTTGAGCTGTGCAATACCAAGGCTCCTCCTCTTAACCGACTGCTCTACTATGTTCTTTCCTGGGGAGATTAAGTGATAAAGAGGATACTCATAATGCCCACTTCACCTATGGGGAAACTGAGTCATAGGAAGGCATCATCACGGAGCTAGCAGATGGCAGAGCAGGGGTTTGAACCCACATTTGTCTGACTTCCAAAGTCATTAGTAACACTTCCCTACGAAGTAGTGGGACTGGCAGCTAGGCTGCCCCTGGACTCGGGCCCCCTTGGGACTGTAGGGAGACCCGCCCACCACACACCAGCAGGTTCACAGTGCAACTCATGCGGTTATTTTTGCTCTCATCTGTCATCACATCCCGGTAATCCAGCAGCTTCTCCAGGAGACCTTTGACCAGGTTCACAAAGTTCTCCACAGACTTGGCGATTGTTGGGTGCTCTGCAGCACACTCCATCAGGCTGCGGACAGACAAGGCTGTGAGTTCAAGGCCCTGAACATAAGTGGGTAGGGGTCAGCACAAGCCAAAGAGCCCAGCAAATCCAAGCTTCCCTGATTCATGAGTTGGCTCTCTCTGTTCATCCCTACCTGTGCTTATCCACATAGTGAAGCAAGTATTTATTTTTTGCCATCAGAATAGGAAAAAAAATTAAATAGAAAATCTTCTACTGTGGGCATAATGGTTACTACTGTGTGGGCAATAGTTATTTTCAAATACTCAACATTGTGAGTGTATTAGGACAACTTTTGGGGGATAGCAATTTTCACAATATCTATCAACACTTTAAATGCACATAGTCTGTGACCTAACAACTCTACTTCAGGGAATCTCTTCTACAGAAATATTCTGAGAAGTATGCCAGAATATACTTACAGGACTTATAAATTGGATCTAATAGTGAAATAGTTGGAACCATCTTAAGTGTCCATCAATTACAAAATGGTTAAATAGATTAAGATAGTTTCACAAAATGTAATTATCTGAAGCCATTAAAAAGTACTGGAAAGATAAATGTATTTTGACATGAAAAGTTCTATAAAATATAAAGTCAAATGAGATACCTAAGCCACTTTTTAAAATGTAACTGATGGCTTAGGTGCGTTATTTTTCACATCTTATAAACATATGCTCATTTAATCTCCCATCATAGTCTAATGAGGTAGGACTCTTGTAAATGGGGAAACTAAGGCATAGAGAGGTCAGCTAACGTGTCCAAGCTAACAGAATTGGTTAATATCAACAGCCTGTCTCCTGCATGTGTCTCTACTACCAAACACTCTTATGTAGGTACAAATGCACCTGGTGACCTTCGGCATATGGTCAGAAAGGATACACACCAAATGAGTAATCATGGTTGCTTCTGACAAGGGGCCTAGCTGGAGAAACAGAGGAGGAAAGTCTTCATTTTTCTATTTGAATATGGGTATGTTATTTGGAAAAATTTAAAACATTCATGTAACATGAACATTCAAAAAATTTAAAATGAAAATGTAAAAAATTTGACATCTTAAAAGCACCTAGTAGTTGTTAGGTATTATGTAAGGCACAGTATGGTCAGGGAGAAAGACATCAATGTGAGAAGAACCACGTCTACCCTCAGGTGGCCTGCAGGCTAATGAGGGAGAGATGAATGGCTTAAAATTTTGATAAGTGGAGACATTAATTATTTATTCTGTGCCTGACCCTGTACTATATTGATCCCTTTTTCTTAAGAAACCTTCCCTGGAATGCTGACTGGTAAAAGTGTCCCATCCACTTTACATATGAGGAAATCAAAGCTCAGAAAGGTTAAAAGGCCTTCCCAATGCATCCTAGTATTAAGTTTAAGTGATGAGTTTGGGAATTGAATCAATTGCTGTTCACCTTGGGGAGTGTTCTCCCAGAGACACTGCAGCACATTTCTCTGGGGCGACAAGCACCACTCAGGCTATATGGTTTGCTCCAACCACTTGTCTGTGGTAGTATAAGTCCCACAAGCCCTTAGCAGGGTAAAGGGAGGAAAGTAAGGACTTTGGAAGTCATTTTATCCCAGAAGTCACGCCAGGCTGCAAGGAGGCTACTTTGCAGACTGGCTGGGACCAGACAAATCAATCTTTGCCCTGAGAGAAGCACCTGTTCCCCTGTTGTGAGTGGGAGATGCAAACAGCCCTGTGATTTAGGCCTGTCTGGCTCAGTCACAGCTGTGCCTGCCTCCCTCTGGGACAGCCACTTCCAGGGATGCTTCCCACCTCAATTGCAGGCTGTGACTTTGCAGTGTTTGTTGTGGGATTTCTCACAACCTCCCAGGCAGGAGGCACTCAAGGTCTGACCTCAGACAGACCAGGGGCTCACACCCTGGCTCCATGTTCAAAAGGGACGCTTTTACAAAGCCCCATGCGCATTTTAGTCCAACGATCTTGGAATCTTCGGTGGGACATAAGCAGCACTGTCTAATGTTTTATGCTGTCTAGATATTCCAGTGTCTGACTAGGATTAAGAACCCCTAGCTTCATCCAGAGTTTTGCAAACGTCACTGTATAAGGAAATCACCTGAGCACTGCTGTAATAGATTCAGATTCACCAGGCCTACACTTAGGCCTGAGTTTCTCCTTGCTATACAGCTCTCAGAGATGCTAATACTGGTGGGCCCACGGGTCACATTTGAGAAGCAAATGTTTCGAAGAATAAGATCTTGGCTTTTTTGTTTCTCTAACCTTAGGTGTAAGTAAAAGGGCTGCTCATACAGTCTAGAACTGACGAGAATAATGGGGCAATTAATTAGAAATCACTCATCCTTATTCATCCATCAATCATCCCTCCCTCCCATATGTACTGTTGTAAAAAGGAGGAATTCAGAGACTGTGAAGACCCTGACTTCCATGTAGATCCAAGTCTAGCAGGGGGGAAAAGCAAAAAGATAAAAATTAGCCATAATTTATAGTGGTACTACCCTTTACTGAGTAGTTGTGGCTTAACACACTGTGCTAACCTGTTTCAATGATTATCTTGTTTAATACCTACAAAATGTCTTCAAGTAGGAAATGTTATAATCCCTAAATTATATATGAGGCACATGACCCATGGGACTGGGTTCTCTCAAGATTACATAGATGTTTCTTTCTTTTGAGTTACATAGAGGTTGGAAGCAACAATGAGAAAGAACTATTCAGAGGAAGGAGGGGAGCAAACACTCTTCCACTGCCTCTGCTGTGGCCTTGGGGTGCTGGAGAGGGGCTGACCCCTCTCTGGAAGTGCTGCGCATTCAGCATGGAGACCTTCAGAGGGAGGAGTTGGCTCCACCTTCTGTCAGTGTGGATAGAGATGGACTTGCATTCATTCCTTTAAAAATTATGTGCAGAGATTCCACCTCACCCCACAAAGAATGGCTGCTATCAAGAAATCACACAATAACAAATGTTGGCGGGATTGTGGGGAGAAAGGAACCCTTCTCCATTGTTGGTGGGAGTGCAGACTAGTGCAACCACTATGGAAATCAGTGTGGAGATACCTCAAAGAGCTTGGACTGGAGGTTCCATTTGACCCAGCCATCCCTCTGCTGGGTATCTTTCCAAGAGAACTAAAAGAATCATATCACAGAGAAGTATGTGCACCCATGTTTATAGCGGCACAGTTTGTAATAGCTAAATCTTGGAAACAGCCTATTTGCCCATCCGTTGGAAACTGGATAAAGAAGTTGTGGTTTTTCTATAAAATGGAATATTACTCAGCCATAAAGAACGAGAAAATAGATTCATTCATAGGAAAATGGATACATATTGAAGATATACTTCTAAGTGAAATAAATAAGTCATACATGTGTAAATACCGAATAATTTCCCTGGTGTGAATAATTTGCAACAATGCATAATATTCTAATAAGATTACATTAGACATTTAGAAATGGGAAGAAAGGAGCTAAAGGTGCAGGGAAGGTGTGATGGGTAGGGGAAGAACAAAAAGGGAAAAGAAAAAAATGTGAGAGAATGAAAAGATGAAAATAAAGTGTTTGTAGATGGGGAGGGGAGGAGGGGGTGAGGGGAGGGCAGAGGTAAGGGGAAAAAATGAGAATCAAGACTTCCCATGTAGAGGTACACGATCCCAACAATGAATGTAACTGTACTGTATCCCTAAAATGTACCAATAAACTCAATAAAATTAATAAAAAAAATTATGTGCAGAGTCTCTACCTCTTATGAGACAGCTCCTCTTCCTACTGAACTGGGTTAAGTAGGGTCCAGGACCAGAATACACATCTTTGGTCTTTCTCAGCCTTCCAGTACCCTTGCTACTTCTAGAAATAGTCCCAAACATTGAATACAAGCAGGCAGGGGTTGTCTTATTATTCTACCTATTATGGAACTTGTAATTTAAACCCAATTTGGATTAATGAGAGTGTGCTCTGAGAGATCTGAGGGCAACCAGGTCTAAGGAGCTTGGAGGAAGGGCTGGAGGAACTGAGATAACCAGCCCAGCGGAAAAAGATAGGTAGGATCTTGGCTTCCAATAAGTATAATGCTACCTGCTGAATAACAATACTGGGTATTGCATCTGCACTCTACCTATTAGGTATCAGAGACTATGCCAATAACGTAAAACTAAAAGAAAAAGAATGACATCATGCTCAGCATTTTACAAAATTTGTCATGTGATTCCAACAGAACTGTAAGAGCTAGATAATAATTTTACCCCTAGTTTGCAGATAAGGAAACTGAGGCTCAGAGAGGTCAAACAAAGGAGCAGGAACTGGATATTCTGAATGTTCTGAAGAGGCATGGACTCCCTGGGTTGGGCTTGATTAGTTTTGTGTAAGGAGCATTCACACCTCTACCTTAGGAGGAAAATAATGAGCTGCCTTTAATTTCCTCAACCTCTAAGGACTCTTTTTATAAATAATCACTGAGGAAGGATTTGAAAACCCTGCTGATAGTCTGAAGACTACCACAGAGCCCCATCCACTTATAAAAATGGAAATTTCCAGTGCTGTACATGGTTCCACTTCTGGTCAATATTTAGATTTTCCTTTTTGGAACTTTAAGATAAACAGTGACTCTAGCAGAATGTTGTTTCTGCCCCAGTATGGTCAGTTTCAGTATCCACTGGAGAGGCAGACAGTGGTTTCTCCTTCCAGTGCGTCTAGTTTGCATTTTAGGTACCTGGAAGAGCTGTGCATAGAGACAAGGGCCAGGGCAGAGCCAGCTCACACCAAGCTGCCTGGACTCCACTCTGCCCACTGGGCTCTGATGGGCTGGACAGGATGGAGAGCTCACTGTGGGGTTCAGAGCAAGGTTTTTCTTTTCCTTTTATTATTAAATATTTAGAAAGGATTGGGGAAAGATGAATCCTAACCCAGAATTATATCAGAGCATCTTGCAAATCAGAGAATATACAGCTAGGGGAAGTTTGGGATGCCTGGCTGCATTCCTAACCCTTGGGAAAAGTCATTTTCTGGGCAGGGGGGCGATTACCAGGCTGCCAGAGACAGAAACTGGGAGTCAGGCTGAGGGACTGAAGTATATTTATTAAGCATGTACCTGCTGTGTGCCAGATGCTTTATAATTACCCAGCCTTCAAAGTAACCACAGGGGCTTATTATTATCATTTTGAAATGGGGATACTGAGGCCCAGAGAGGTTGTGTGATTTGCCCAGACTCATGCAGCTGCAAAGCAGGGCTAAGATTAAGTCCAATGTCTTTCTCCAAAGACACACACACATGGCCAATGAGCACATGACAAGATGCGCAACATCATTAGCTATTGCAGGAATGCAGATCAAAACCACAACGGGCTATCACTTCTCACTCTCTAGGATGTCTCTAATCGATAAGATAGAAATTAGCAAGTGTTAAGAAGGGTGTGGAGAAACTAGAGCCCGCCTATATTGCCAGTGGGGATGTATATGCTGTTGCCACTTTAGAAAATAGTCTGGTGGTTTATCAAAAAGTTGAATATCTCAGTATTTATATTGCCATATGACCCAGTGATTCCATCCTTAGGTATATAGCCAAGAGCAACGTATGGATTTATCCACACAAAAATCCGTGCACGCATGCTCACAGCCAAAAAACCCCCGGCAATAACAGCCAAATATTCAACAGCTGAGTACAGAACAAACAAAATTAGTGAACAGACAGTGGATTATTATTTTTCAATAAAAGTGAAGGGGGTCTAGGGATGGAGAAAGAAGGGAGAGAGAGGAAAAAAGAAAGGTTATACATAATATTTATAATTAATATAGATATGTAACATAATTATACAGAAGATTATATACAGATATCCATTCCTCACCATGAATGTATTTGTTGTGTACTGTAAATGTGTGCTAGTTAACAAATTAAACATAAATAAAATACTGATGCATGCTACATGGCTAAACCTTGAAAACATCATGTTACCTGAAAGAAGTTGGTCGCAAAAGGTCATGTATTGCATGGTTCCATTTAAATGAAATACCCAGAGTATGCAAATCCACAGAGATAGAAAGCAAAGAGATGGTTCCATGGGGCAGGGGAGATGGGAGAGTGTATGTGGAGCGGGTGTGGGGCCAAGGGTACGGTTTCATCTGAGGAGTAATGAAAATGTTCTCAGATCGGTTGCCATGATTGTTGCCCAGCTCTGTGAATATATACATATCAAAAATCAATAATTGTGCACTTCAGGTAGATTGCATGGTATGTGAATTTTTTTTTTTTCAATAAAGCTGTTAAAAGAAAACCCTGTCCTCACTCCAAATGGCCTTGGGCGCTGTCAGCTGTCCTCTCCCCACTCCAGGCCTGGACACTAGAATCCTACAAAGATTGGTTCAGGTCCCTGTTTGTCCTTTTCATTAGCTTTTCCTACCTTCTGTGGACAACGTTCTGACCTCTCTGAGCCTTAGGAGTCCCCTCTGTGAAACAGGGATCCAAAAGAGTAAGTTTGATCACAGGTAATAACCAGAGAACACTTAGCACAGTGCCATTCATTGCAAGTGGCCTATCAATACTGGTTATAATCACTATGTGGCAAGAATCTAAAAGGAATAGTAGCAATAAAAATCATCCCATGTTTAAGACATAAATTAGATGTGGGCATTGGCAGATTCTTTCTTTCTTTCTCTGTTTCTTTGTTTCTTTCTCTTCTTTTTTTCTAACACAGAAAAGTTTCTTTTTGTCTGGTCCACTCCATCAATATCAAAGAAATAGCCATTTCAGAGAGACAAATAGGGTTTCTTCCCCCAAAACTAGGAGATTCTCCAGGACCCATGAACCTCTACAATGGTCTCCAGTGTAGGGCAGGTGCTCGAGGGGTTGGGGGGTTGTGTACGGAGCATAGAACTTACATTGATTCCAGGAGCTGCATGTATTGCTCATCCCCTCGGCCCCCTTCCACCTCATGGTCCAGCTTCAGGATGATTTCATTCTCAAACTGAAGAAATAGGAGATGAAAAACAACAATAATAATATCAGAAGGCTGAGTGTCAGTGTTAGTCAACTCATTCTTCTAAGTAAAGTTTGAGATAGGTAGGATGTGTGCTGAGATCTAGGAATGCAAATGGCACAAGGAACTCTTCTGCATTTCAGTAGTGCCCAGGTGATGGGTGCTGGAGCAGAAAGATGTGGGAGAGAGAGATGCAGAGAAAAAGAGACAAAAACACACACAGCCACACCAGAGAAGGAGAGAGGGATGGAGGGAGATAGAGGGAGAAAAAAAGAGAGAGGGGGGAGGGAGAGATGGAGGGAGGGAGGGAGGGGGCTGGCTTGGTCTGTAAGAGAAGAACAATAACATTTATGATTTTTTTCTATATTCAAGGTTCAAAAAGGATTTTGGATTCAGTATGCAGCAAAATGGTTGAGGCATCTGTGTATGATAAAAAGAAATGGTGAAGAGGGCAGTATTTGTCGTGTGGAGACGCGAGGCAGGGGCAGGCATGCTGTCCTCTCCCTGGTCATGCAAGTGCAAATGTTATGTGCATCACTGCTGGTGGGAAGAGAGGTTCATTGTGTGCTCTATGCTAATGCATTTTACAATAAAACAAAATGTGCCAGGACTTCTGGGGGTGGGAAGGCCAGAGGGGAGGAGCAGCTGCTAAGCACTGATGCCTGAGAGGCCTGGAAGGACAGACAGAAGAATGCGCTATCCTGGGACCCTGAACCAGTTCTAGGAGGAAGTGCCAGTCCAAAACTCTGTCCTTCTAAAAAACTCTTACATGTGACTGGGATTGGATGCTTACAGAATTATTATTTGTTTGTTTTCTGAGACGGGGTTTCACTGTACATTATTCAAAGGTCAGTTAAGAAATTTTGCAGAAGGATAAAAAAGGAAAAGGGAATTCCCAGCACTGCAGAAGCACAGAGGTGCATGATGGAATCCTACATCTGTAGGCAATGGCAAGTTGACACAGGCAGCCATTATTTCTGCCTGCCTAGTATTCCTTTCTCCACAGTTTGGCAATCACACTAGCCCTAGTGTCAGTCTGTGAGGCTCAGGTGGTCATGCTTCCCTACTACCAAGTGTGGACACCAGACAGAGGCCTGGCTCCTAATGAGCGTATTCACTTCCCAGAGCCTGGAATCAAGAAAGGCCCAAGCCAATCCAGTTAAGAGTCTAATCTGAGGCTTTGCTGGAACTCTTAGAAAAAAAATGTCTTTCTGCTGAACTGCAAGATGGAAACCTGTAAGCCTGGGGCTGCTATGGATGACCATAATGAAGGAGTGACCTTGGAAATAACATCAGTACAGGAGAGAGCAGAAAGTGATGGAGAGAAACTGAGACCTAGTACAGTTTTGGGGCCCCTGGATTCAGCAATAACTGAGTTTTCTCATTTATATGAATGGATGTATGTATGTACACACAAGCACATGCACACACACATACACACACCAGCTGATATAAACTGGAGTTTAACCTGGAATTTTGTTTTTAACATGGAATGACAATAACAAGACACGAAGCAAGTACCAGCCTTTAGAGTCAAGATTGGTGGCAATGGTAATGGTCAGAGATCAGACTGCTAAGTGACCAGAAAGCAAGGTACCCTGTATAGTTCCACCAAATCTTGCTGCATTGAAGCCAGAGAATGTTTTGGGGCCACAGTGTTGATGTCAAGAAGCATTCTGCAGCGTGGGGACTGTTGTGTATTCAGCATATTTCCTTGAAAGACATTACAAAGTCTTTTCCATATGAATGCTATTCAGAGTGGGTTGTACTGTTTTAACCCCACACCCGGAAGGGCCCACCCAAATCGTACGGCCCTCCTCCTCCCACTCATCATTAACAAAGAAGCTGGCACCTGGGCAGGGGAAGGGGGTCCTTGGCAAAAGTCATCCAGATCAAAGGAGGCCTGGAGACTCCTGGCTCCTATCTCAGTTTAATTCACTTTCAGTCTTCATAATATCCTACAAGGCTTGGAGGTCTAGGGTCACCTTTGAATGTGAAAATCCATGACAAGCAGCCAGGCCTTGGCTCGCACAGCCTTCAGTAAGTGTCGGCTATCATTACAGATGAAGAAGTGAGGCTCTGAGAATATAAGTGACCTGTCTGGAATCTCAGATGAATGGCGGCGAACTTTTTGCAGGGTCTTTCAGTGTATAATTGATGGCGCCCAATTGAGTTGGAATGATAGAAGGCAGGCACCAGACTCACTTTTCCCTCAGGCTTACAAGTCATCCATGATGCCTCCGGTCCCTCACTTTTACACACTACGAGTAATGAAAAGAACAGAAAGGCCTGTAGTAACAGTACAAATGGGAAGGAATTGTCTGAGAGTCCCCACAGGTGGGGAAGACTTACTACAAGAGATCACCAGGACTGGAAAGATGAATAGGGTTGTGATATTTGGGAAGAGGAAGGGCTTGCTAGGTGGGGGAAATAGTATCAGCAAAGGTGTGGACTTAGCAAGGTGGAGAAAAATGAGGAGTACAGTTCAGCTGGAGCAGAGACTTGCAGAGAGAAAGAAAGGAAAGAACAGAGCTCTGGGAAGGCAGCTATCATCAGGATTTGGGTGGCTAGTCTGCAAATGAATTATGCCCCTTATAGGATGCAACTCATCACGCATTTTATGTGTGTTAATTAGAGTGCAGGGTCAGAATTTGGGGGCCATCATACTTAGGGATGTCTGTGCATTAAATCTAGAGAAGAAACTAACAGAGCTGAGGCTCTGTAAGAGCAGCTTTTGCTATTTGGCTGGCTGTTATTTAATCCCTCTTCCTGTCCCTCCGCCACATTGGGAAAGGGAGGTTGTCTTTATAACCTGCAGGGTCATGATTGGCAAATATTTCCTACCAGTTAGTGCCTATTTTAGGCTTTGAGGACAAGAGGGTCTCTGTCACAGCTACTTGACTATGCTGCACAAAAGCAGGCACAAACAACACATCAACAAACTGACACGGCTGTGTTTCAGTAGAGCTATTTACAAAACAGGTGGCAGGATGATCTGGTCCTTCAGGCTATAGTTTGCCCACCCTTGTCAATGCAATGGGTGTCATAGTGGTCCTAGTTTGGAGGCATTAGGGAGAGCAGAAGGGGATTCTATATGTAGAGCACAAGAGAAATTCAGGAGCTCAAGTGTGCACTGAGCTGGCTTGGCATATTATCACTGCTAATGTTATTGTTATTACTGCAGAATGGTGCTAAAAAGCAGCTTTAGGGGAGAAAACCAGCATTTTTTCTTGTCTGAGTGGTTCACTGGGAAATGCTGGCACCATTCCTCCTGATGAGATGAACTTCTTTGGAGGAAAGAAGTGGATGGGGTAAATAAGCACTTGTCTCGGGGTCACAAAAGAGCCTGCCAGGAGGGAAATTGCAGGGTGCCAGAGAAAGAGCAGAGTCATACGATGCCACGCAGTGTCTGAGCCCTCCAGGGTGGCTAGAGAGCTAAGGATATCCCAGGACAGGTGCTGTGCTCAGGAGTGGCTATGACCACAGGCCTTGACATTAAAGAGACTTGGCTGAGTCTTGCTTTGCCATTTTTCCCAGCCATGCGACAGTGGGCAAGTTAATAAAATCTTCAGCTGCTCAGTGTTCCCACTTATTAAATGCAAACTTAAAATCGCACCTACTTTCATTGTGGCACTGTAAGGAGGTAATGGGAAATCATGTGTAAAAGGCCATGACACTTGGCACATGATAGATGCTCATAACAGTTAGGAACAGTCATCTTGGCCTGCTGTTGTCACCAGCAGCATCATTATCCCATTTAATCTTTACAGTAGGCAAGAGGGCTGGGTAGGATCCCTGATTCATATGTGAGGAAGCTAAAATAGGAAGTGTGTCTTGGGTTTCAAAGACAGATGAACTTGAACTAAGGGAGACCCTACGCCCAACATAAGCATTTCCTAGAGGTACTCTGCTCTGTCATGATGACAGGCCTTATCCCCATCATTGTCATTACGAAGAGTTTATGATGTAGCTTTACTCTTCCAGGTTAATTTCATTTGCACTCATGGCTTTACAGTTACATTCCTTCATTGCTCCTCTCTTCACCTCATCCTTGCCAGGTGGAATTTGCCAGGGAATATCCACAGATTGCTTTCGCAGAAGTCAGGCTCTACTCAAGCCAATGTGAATCATAAGAAGCCTAATCAAGAATAAGGGGTGACCCCCACAGGCCCTGATGTCCTGAGCAGGCCTTGGATTTTCTCTTCCAGCTGTGACTCACAGGTTCTCACATTTGCATCAGGTCTTCCCTATGCATTTCTGCAGCCTCTCTTTAGAGGATCTGGACTATTTACCTCCTTCCATTTACTAGAATGTTTTTTAATAGGAGCCCAGCCCCCACTGAAGCGAGGAATTTAGGATACAAGAGCTCTTCTTCCTGGGTTTGCTGCTGACTGACGTGGAAAAGGCAGCAATGATGACACAGGCCTCCATTTATGAGATTCGTGAGGGAGAGCAAGGATCAAGCTGTTTAGAAAGAGGAGGTCATATTTCAGGTGCATGGTCCTTCTCTCACCCAATGGTTTAGATATCATGCAGCAAGACCAGTTTTCAAATGCAACCCGCTGGCCTCCAGATGTCTGATCTGGGGTTCACTCCAGTTCTGGCTATCAGGGCTGCGTGGGGTTTATGCTGGGCCCCCTTGCCTTCGCCCTTTCCTGGGCACACCCCTCATGGCTGCTCACTAAGAGCCTTAAGCCACATGCTGGGACCTGCTTATCTCGCAGCTGGACTCCAGCTAGTTTTCGCATCACCATCTGTCCCATTTGTCAGCCTCACCGTCCTGTCCCTTTGGTAAGGGAGCAGCAAACTGAAGCAATTGGGGCACATGCTTGCAATGAACTCATACAGGAGTGAAAAGCCCAAAGCTGAGCCCATCTATGGAAAATAGGTGGCTACATGACACAAAGGGAATCCGTCAGGGAAGGAAAGTCACAGCAGCATCCAGCCTCTGAAGGCATAAGGCTGCCATTAATCTGTCAGGTCTTAATCTAGACAGTGACCAAGTACTTTCTCTGTTTCAGATGTTGTGTATCATTAGGTATGTCAATGTTTTCTTTCCACACCTGTTTCCAGGAATTCTTCTGAGACACCTGTCACCTGGGGCGATCTGAGGATAAGTAATCTTTTATCTGATTTTTGTATGCCTTCAAGTACTCTCAAGCTTCACAGATCTGCTCTACCCTTAATAGGAAGTGGATACTAAACTGCTTCCACACACTTAACCTAGGTCTTCACCTCCCACTCCCCTGACCCAGCTGGCCAGATCTCATCTCTTTCTGCATCTGAACTCCTCAGCCTGATTTCCTTTAAGGATCTTTGCAAAGGAGACAGCTGCTCACTGATCTTTTTTGGGACTAGGAGCTCCCATTAATATCCAAGGGGAAAAACATTCCTCATGGAGGTACCATCTTACAAAACTAGTCTCTTATTCCTCTCAGAGCAACTTTTTTTTTTTTCAAAGTGTGATTGGAAGAATGGTGGCTCCAATAATATTTTTTTCTTTTTTCTTTTCTTTCTTTCTTTCTTTCTTTCTTTTTTTTTTTTTTTTTTTTTTTTTTTCTTTTTTTTTTTTTTTTTTTTTTTTTTTTTTTTTTTTTTTGTACTGTGGATTGAACTTGGGACCTTGCCCTTGCCCTTGCGAAGCAGGCAGCAGAACCACTGAGCTAAATCCCCAGCCCTCCCATAATATTTCTTCAAAAATAAACTGGAGAAGTTAAACAGGTCTGCTTGCCAGGGGACATCCAAGTTCTTGACTGCTTTAGAATACACTGGGAATCTCCAAGCCAGATTACAATGCACAGTGGTGTCCAAGGTATTTAACCTGAGATTTTTTCCTCTGGAGCATTTTTGTTGGATTAGTGTTTTCTGAAACACACGTGAGAAAACACTGCACTGCTGGATGGCTTTCTTTACTGCAGCTGACACTGACTGTGACTCTACCGACACTTGGATGGTTCAGTGATTTCAGTGTGGGTTGGGGAATGGTAATGACCCGTGCATTGCAGTCTCTGCTCTGCCACTTTCTAGATATGTGACTTTGGACAAATGATTTCCTCACTCTAAGAATCATTTTTTCACCACCTTTAGGATGGGAAGATAATGTTAATGTCAGTCATTGCCGTCACCATCATCACTCTTACTGGTGAGGTGGAGGAAGACACTGATAATGCACAGGGGTGACTATAAAGCAAAGTGGTATAGTAGTCATCCTTTGGGTAGATAAAATGATAGGAAAAGGGAGCAAAGCTTTCTTAAAGGACATGGCACTTGGAATGGGCTCTGCGGGGTCAGAAGGAATTTGGAAGCCACTGGCAGGCAGGATTGTGAACACACAGAGATGACAGGAAGAGGGTCCCTGGGGTGGGGGTAAGGCCATGCAGGTGAGCTGCAGGAATGCCTGAAGAATGGGTGAAGTTGGGGAAGAGGAGAGGGAATGGTCAGGCACTTCAAAGGAAAGCCAGAGCTGGGTGGACCTTGATAACAGGGTAGAGGGTTTGGACTTTAAAGGGTGGAGACTAGAGAATCAATGGGCAAGGGCAATGACCCTGAGAATGGTGAGGAAGGGCAGTTTGGAATCTGCTGCCCTTTCAGGACACATTTTATGAAAAATTTTTTGGTGGTAGGGCCATGGTATGGAGGGAGAGGCAGAAACACTGGGGGAGAAAGGGACAGGGAGGAGCCCAGTTAGTGGGGAGACTAGGCGAGAAGTCAGGGCAGAGAGGAAGAGGGAAGGACTTGAGGAAAGTGCTTGGGCAGCCTTGATGGCACTTAGAGACCACGCTCCTAAATGAGGGAAATGAGTGCTCGCTTCGGCAGCACATATACTAAATGTGGGAAATGAGTGGATGGTGCCAAGCACACATTGCTTGAGTGGGTGTATTCTTTCCCCGCTGGGGCTTTTGTATTATTCGGCCTAGACTGTGGTCCTCATTCTTTAAGAGGCCACATTCCCAATGAAAACACTTGGCCTAGAAGCCTCACATTTTAGAGAAGCTCTTACTCGTGTGCCAGAGGAGGCATGTTCCATCACACAGTTTCTTTCTCTCTCTCTCTCTCTCTCTCTCTCTCTCTCTCCCTCTCTCTCCCTCTCTCTCCTGAAGGATGTGCCTCCAATTGCATTCGCTGCCCACTTTGATGTATGGCCCAGTGTGATGCCTGACTCCCAGGGCTGGCTTCTGCTAGACAATGTAGATCTTTGAAGCTATCAAAAAAGATGAATCCTCAGACAAGGGTAGAAAGGTATGGCCTGGGAACACACCCCAGGGAGCCATTAGGTGTGGAAGTGGGTTGCTTATCCTTTTGGGAGAGGGACCGAACAGATACACAGAAAGAATGCATTTTCATCGTGGCCTCAGGCAGGAAGGCGGGACATATACTGACCGAGTTCCATCTGCCAGCTCATTCTGGGCACATGAACAAATGTCCCTGTCCTGCCTCAGAGCCTCTGAATGAAGCTCAGGCAGATGGAACGAGGACATCATTATGGGTAAATGGGCTGGGGATTAGGGATGCTGACATGAGTTTTTAGCCTCATTTTGTACCTTTTTGAAATCACCACTCCTTTGATATTCACACAGCATCATGTCGAAGAATATTGGTATGGTGGCTTTCCGAAGCTCAGCCTCAGGGATAAGTGTCATCTCTAATATAGGTCCCACCATGCCTGGGATGAAGCGGATTTTGTTGTGGCCTGAAAGAGAAGAAGCATATAAGCACATAAAACAGTTTCATGAAGCCTGGCGAAGGGATGAAAGAGAGGCACGAAAGCAAAAACAATAGTTAACACTTGTATACTTGTTTATCACAAACCAGGCTTGCTTTGAACACTTCACCTATATTAACTGTTGTGAGAGGCACATGCATTGCCCCAAACCAGGCCCATTATGAAAGATAATGACACAGGCACGTGGAAAGCTCTTTGCTGTTTCCAAGGGTTTTCACCGGCATTATCTCCTATGCAAGCATAACCCTTATCATTGAGATTCTCAGTGACCGTGTAACAGGGATATTTGGAATTATGTCTGGCTGCATCATAAGTGATTTCTGGAGTTTGGAAAACATGCTTTTACCAAAAGTTTCACGAAGTGAGGAAAACAAATCTTGCTATTAAGGACCTCACTAGTGGGAGAAAATGCAGTTTTCTAGGCAGATCAGCCACAATTTCTTATTCCCCGTGCCTCGTTTTAAGATGTACCCTAAAGCCCCCTCCCCTTGCTGTCGGCATTCTAGCCACAATGGCCCATTCCAGTGTCACAAAGCTACTCTGTACCCCCACTAACAGGCCTGTGCTCCCAAATCTCCTTGGTTGAGAATACTTTCCCCTGCCTGCTCACCAGTGTCCCCTTCCACATTGTTACTGCCTGGCTTCCTCTGTATGGCCTCCCATCTTTGAGCCTTTCGTAGTGTATATCCTTCCTTGAGGGAAAAAGCCCCCTGCAAGCCCACCTTGCCTCTAGCTAGATTAGACAGCTGTCCCTGCTGCTTCCATTCCGCCTTCTCTCTCAACTCAGAAATGATTCCTGTACTTGTTGAACCACTTGGTTCACGTCTTCATGAGAATGGCATGAAGGGTAGAAATCACACCAACTCTCATCTTTGTATCGGTAGCAGAGATAATAGAAACTAAAATCAAGATCTTCCCAAGGAGGAATTACATTTGCCTCCTATAACACTACCCTTCCCCCCGAAATAAGACCTAGCGGGAAAATAATTTGTCTTGAAAATCAGAGATAAAAAATTTCTGGGCCCAATCATCTTCTCCATGCCTTACCTGCCATCACTATTCTCTTGCTCAGTGGTTATTCTGTAAGGCAGGTAAGGCAAGGATAGGCTGACCGGGGCTGGCATTTTTGACTTCTAGTTCTCAAGGCTGATTATTGCCAGCTAGGTCTTTTTTTCAATAGATATGTGACTTGGATAGACACCTCATAAAAATGCAGAAGGAATACCCGTGTATTAAGAAGAACATGTGAAAATATGTCTATATGAACCAGAATCGAACTGAATCAGTACCCAGTGGAAGAGGCAGTATTGCTCACTGGATAAGGGAATTAATTCTGGATCCAGACCTGAATTTTTAAACTGACTCAACCATCAGCTAGCTATGTGATGTTGGGAGAAACCTCCACGTCCTCATGTATAACCTGGGATGACAATTATATTCATGCCAGAGTGACTATCAAGAATAAGTGAATTGTTATTTTCGAACAGCAAGATCAGCACTTGGTATGTGACACACTACATAGTGTTAGCTATTATTGTTGGTATTTGGTCAAAATAAACCATGAAAAGCAGCCTTGGTGAGCAGAACCGAGCAGATGCTTAAGAATACACATGACAGAAGTGGCAGAGATAAAGAATAAACAGGAATACTTACGAACTGCAGAGATCTTCTGGGGAGTGAGGACAGGCATATTCCAGCATCAAAACTGAAACTCTAGGGGGCTGGGAATTTAGCTCAGTGGTTCCACCACCTGCCTTGCAAGAGCAAGGACCCAAGTTCGATTCCCGGTACCCACAAAATCAAAACTTTATATATTCCACCTGAAGCTGCCTCCTTCTCCTCCTAAGTCTCACTGCCCAGGAACCCCACCTGCTTTCCTCCATTGTCAAGATCAACATCTGTGGTCCTGACCTGGAATAGAAGGCTCCTGGGGGTGCAGAAACTCATTCAGTAGGGTGTGTGGCCAGGCATGGTTGCTTTTGATTAAAGAAAAAAACAGGAGCCAACAGAAAGGCAGCAAGGAAATGAATTTTTATTCAGCCCAAATGAGGCTTAATGTTGGAGTCTTTCTGCAGAATTCGGGTAAAAAATGTATCACCCCAGGAGTACCTTCAGTTGTGAGAATGAAATGATGAAGTCTGGCAGAGTGGAGTGAAAGATATAGACACTTTCCCGGAGGGTCAGCTTCATTATACAACACATTTGGATTGCACTTGAGCATTAAGTCTTTGCTTTGGCCCAAATAGGAAAAGAAAAGAAAAGAAAAGAGAAAACAAAACAAAACAAAAAAACCACCATACTTTGTGGCAAGTTTCTAGTAATTGCTAATCTAGGCTTCTTATTTCATCCTCCAAGATCCTTTAAGTCTTTTTCAAACCACAGTGGGGTTTTAAAATTCAAAGTCGAGTACAATAATAGGTAGAAAGTAAATGGGAAACTGTCAGATAAGCCATGATGGAATAGAGAAATTGCTTATGCAACAAAGGCTTTTAGAATACTGGAGGGCACCAGGCATGATAAGGATGTATTTAAGATGCTTTAAAATACAGGGCAGACATGCCATGGACTAGAGATTTCTTAGATACTTTTGATCTGCATTTTCTGTATTCTTTAAAGAGATATTTGGCAGGCTAGGGAAACAGGAGAAAGAGATGCTGATTTCTTAATACAGTGTGATCTCACTGGCCTTTAAATTGTTCCCTAAAGAAATGTTATTCCTTTATATAAAAAATAGAATTTCAACACATTGAATTTTGTGTTCAAATAAACCAAGTATGTGTGTGTGTGTCTTTCTTTACGTACACAGATATGATACGGGGGTGGAGGAGAGGGAGAGAGGGAGAGAGAACATATTCGTAGCTAGCTGAATACATACTCATTTGGAAAAAAATTCTCATTCACGAATCACACCTGCTGCTATATTCTAAAAAAGGCAAAGAAGGGAATTGGTTTGAGGGTCTTTTTTACATAATGGAAGCTGAATCTCACTGGGAACAGATACCAATTAGAAAAGGCTTTTAAAGTGCCAGGGAGCCAGCGGGATAAATCCAAACGCTGAATTACACAGGCTTCAGGAAAGGGTCTAGTGCTAATGAGAGCACAGAGAAGAGCTGAGGCGTGTAAGAGGAAAGGAATCCTGTGTGTTCTCCTGCACAATGGCTGTATCCATCACTCCTCTTAGGGGGACATGAGGTTGAATGCCAAGGGTTGGAAGGCACTAAGACGGTAATCAAGAAAGGAAGGAAGTAAAGAGAGCTCTGTGAATCTGAGTAACAACCATGAAGTCACGCAGGTCACTAACGCTATGAGGTTAATGTCAGACAGAAAAGGTCCTCTATCTGAGACTCCAAGGCTCTCAAAAGCCTGGCATGAAGCCAGGCATGGCGGCACACACCTGTGATCCTAACACTCAGGAGGCTGAAGCAGGATTGCTGGGAGTTCAAGGCCAGCCTGGACAACAGAGCAAGATGTCTAAAAAAAAGTTAAAAGTGTGGCATATATCCTGAAATGAACAAAGATTAGAACAAGTTATGACCTCCTAGATTTGAGTCCAGCAAGCCTCCCAAAGACTCTAAAATAAAACAGCGTTCATCATTAAAAAGAAAAAAATTACCTATTCGGTTCCAAAAGAGAGGAAAGAACATAGATATCTGCTCTTCTGCCTTAGGCTTGGAAGAGCACCCTCCTGGCAATACACGGAGTCAGGTAATCAATTCTCTCCTCATCTTCAGGAGAAGACGGCTCAGCTTCCTTCCTGGCACATGGCACTATGAAATCTCTGAACTGACCCTGTGAGTGAGGTCTCCTAATGCCATTCCATAGCTAAGTGGCCATGTGCTTAACATTCAATGTCCTTGAGTCTCCATGATCTCATCTATGAAAGGGAGATAATAATTATATCTGTCCAGAATTTGTGGGCTGTTTAAAAGAATGAATATTAAGCTAAGAGCCTTGTCCAGTGTCTGGCATTGTTAGGAAATTTAGTGAGTATCAATGCTAACAATTATGATGATGTGGTGGTGAATATTTTGGGGTCAGCCCTGTACCAGATTCTGGAGAAAACAGTATGAAAAGATAGCATACAACCCCATTGAATCTCTCATGTTTTCAAGGAACTTTGCATGCTGCTCATTTTATTGGTTCACTCTCATAGCCAAGAGTCAACCTGGGGAAAGGATCAGGATGTTCATGGCCCTCTACTTGTCTCTGTCTCATTGAAATGTTTTCTAGTCTGTCCTCAGAAATATCTGAAAAGCCTCAAATTGACCATTTAGAACCCACTGTTTAAAGCCTTCTCGTGGCTTCTGTTGCTCTTGACAACAAGTTCTGCAGGCTCATTTTGTGCGATGCCCTTTGCTGGTCTTTCCTCCATTGTCTCCTCCCTGCTCCTCAGGGCACCCTGCCCTTTCCGCTAAGCCTTCACACTTGGCCCTCCCTCCAAGTTCTTTCCTTCTTCTTCTGGCCCCCTTCCATGCTGAACACCCCCCTACACTTGCCTCTGCAAGTAAATCCTTACGCATCTTCTACAGCCCTGCTACTCAGCCTCAAAGCCACATGCATCTTTTGAGCACCAGAGGTGTGGCTAGTCCAAGGAGAAATGAATTGTAGATATAAACAAAATCCACCAGATTTCCAAGAATAAATTTTTAAAAAATCCTCAAGAATGTTTTATGCTGATTACATGAACCAGCATGTTGAAATGATAACGCTTTGGGATATGAGGCTAAATAAAATACAGACAATCCTTGACTACTGACAGTTTGACTTAGGATTTTCAGCTTTGCAGTGGTGCAAAAGTGATCTTTATCCAGTAGAAACTGTACCTTGGATCTTTTCCCAGGATAGCAATATATGGTCCCATTCTCTCAAGGGATGCTGGGCAGCAAAAGCAAACTGCAGTTCCCACTCAGCCTCACACTCCTCAGAGCAAACAACCAAGACTCTACGGCGCACTCAGGTGCTAAGCT